TTGCGGGCGGAGCGGGACGGGGTGGGCGGGGAGGTCGGCAGCGAGTCCCCCGGCGGTGCGCGCAGCCCCGCGGACGGAGGGCGCCGGGATCCCTGAGTCCCGGAGCTGATGGCGGGCATGTCTTCCCCGTGGGACCCTCGGGAGCCCGCTCCCGTGGGGAACAATCCACGGAGGCGCCCGGTTCGCCCAGGCCATTGCCCGCCGCCACCCGAGGTCACTGCGTGTCGGAAGCCTCGGTCCTCCTCGCCCTGCCGCCCGGGCTGAGCGGTCCGACCGTCTGCGGTTTGCTTCTGAGTGACTGGGTGCACGTGTCCGACCTGGTGGGTCTGCAGCGGGCCCGGGACTCCTTAGAGATAAACCGCAGCCGAGTGGGTCGCCACCGGGTTTTACACGGCGTTTCCACCTCTCACATCCCCTCTCTGCTCTGAAGTCATCCCTGACCTGGAGGGTCGGAGAGCAGGGGCGGTGCAGGTGCTGTTGGAACCGCCACGCCAGGTGGGAGAGGGACCGGAAGCCCCCGACGACACATTTTTGGAAAATGTCACCAAAATTATGCATGCAGACGTGCTTTAACGGATTTATCCTTCGCCAGTGCTCCTGCACACGGACAACGATGTGTGTGCAGGACCGGGTCAGTGAAGTGCGTATCTCCATGCAATACCATGAGGTTGTGAACGCAGCGTATAGTTTGCTATCATTTGTGTAAAAAGGTTGGGAGAATATATTCCTATCTACTTGTATATGCATAAAGTGCACTTGGAAAGATACTGAATAAAGTGGTCATTTTAGTTTCTTTGGAGGGAGGAACTGGTTGCTCGGGAGATGGGACAGGAGGGAGATTTCCCCCCTCCGTGACTTTTTGTGCTTTTTGAACTTTTCAGTGCGTTAAAAATATGTACAGTTTTAAAAGTAAAAATAACCCTGTTTTCTGAGTGTGAATGCTAAATAAAACATTTTTCCAATGTGAGAAGGAACTTAATAAAAGATCTTACTCACTGAATAGAATCAAAGCAGGGCCCCAGCTGCTGCTCTGAAATTCATCCCTGAATCTGCGTCCAGGCCAGGTCATGCGTCCTCAGGGTTAGTTCCTCGCCCACTGGGGACAGAAACACGAAAGCGGACCTTTTCTGGGGAAGATGGGCCTCTTCTGTCAGCAGACTTTGGATCAAGGACTTGTTCTGAAGGGTTTTGCTGCACCTTTCTTGGAATGCAAGGTAGTCCATGCGCTTCCAACCTTCTCCCTTCAGTCCTTCGAGGGAGCCAGACGTGCAGGGAAGTCTAAAGGCTCTCCCAGCCTCCTCTGGTCTCCTAATAAAATCCTTGCATGTTTAATTTTGGCAAATGTTTCCCCAGTGGACTAACAGCGCATCCAACAATTTCTTTGGATATTACCCCTTTGCCATGATTTAAAACTGAAAACGAATGCTCTATGGATAGAGATATTAGTCTTCTTACTGATAGGAAAAGGCTGGAGTCATATTCTTAGCTTTTATTCTTGGCCTTTCATCACAGCTCATCATTTCCTCATTCTACAGTGCCTAGCACTCATCTCACCAATGACTAGGCACCTCTGTACTTCCTCACGTAGGAAGTGGATGGGCTGGATCAGCTAGACCAAGTGGTTGCAAACTCAGACGCCTCTAGAGCAGTGGTTCTGAACCTTCCTCATGCCGCGACCCTTTCATACAGTTCCTCATGTTGTGGTGACCCCCGACCATAAAATTATTTTCGTTGCTACTTCATCACTGTAATTTTGCTACTGTGATGAATCGTCATGTAAATATCTGATATGCAGGATGTATTTTCATTATTACAAATTGAACATAATTAAAGCATAGTGATGAATCACAAAAACAATATGTAATTATGTTTTCCGATGGTCTTAGGCGACCCCTGTGAAAGGGCCGTTCGAACCCACAGGTTGAGAACCGCTGCTCTAGAGCTAGGCAGGGACGATGGTGACCTGGTGAGCACACCCTGCACCTAGTACACAGTCAGCACTGACTTCCCACTGCAGGCCGAAGCATGTTTGTGAACCACTGTGGCTTTTGCTATCAGCTCAAGTCTTTTTAAAAACTTAAAAGTTTTTATTAAATAGATATACTTAATACATATACACACGAAAAATAATCATTGTTTAAGGAACATCCAGGTACTTACTTACCACCTAGTTAAAAAGAATATAAGCTACAGTGATGAAATGTCCTGTCCTCCTCCCTCCCTCCTGTTCTGAGGTAACCATTTTTTTCTGAATTAAAATCCTTTTAAAATTCTTGCGATATTTGTGTCCCTAAACTATCATTAGTTTTGCAAAATTCTGAGCTTTACTGAAATGCAATCAGACATGTTCTGTAAGTTGCTTCCCTCCCTCCCTCCTGTGTGTTAACTTGTTACTGTAACTAATTTTCATATAGTCTTTCGTTATATGAATAAGCCACAATTTATTATTCCAGTAAACAGTTTTGGATATTTGGCTTAATTTTAGTTCATTGCTAATACATCCGCAGCAATGTATCCTTTTAAAAAAATATTTTTAGAAAGAGGGTGGGGGAGGAGAAAGATTGATGTGAGATGTGAAGCTGAACTTCAATGGGCTGCTTCCTGCACGGTCCCCACCAGGGATGGAGCCCGCAACCCAGGCATGTGCCCTGACTGGGAATTGAAGCAGCAAACTTTCGGTGCACTAGACGATGCCCACTGAGCCACACCAGCCGAAGCGGTAATGAATCATTCTGATACCTGTCAGGAGCAGTGGTTTTCCAACTGTGGGATATGCCGACTGGGGACCAAACCTGCAACCTTGGCATATCAGGACGGTGCTCTGACCAACAAAGCTACCTGGCCAGTGCCAGAACCAACATTTTTGAAATGAATTAATTTAGGATGAATTTTAGATACATCTCCTATTATAAGGTGGGTTTCACGCAGTGTTTGCATGTTGCAACACGTATCCATATCCTCTACCCCTCGACAAAACCAGTCCTACCAACGTATTCCTGGTCTGCTCACATCCACACAAACGCAATGTCAGGGTTTTGATGTGCGCCAATCTGGTGGTAGTGAAATGGCTGTCACTTTGGTTTTAATTTACATTTCCCTGATTACACGAGGTTGAGAAAGTTTCCTCTTTGTCGGCCTCGTTGGATTATTTTGTAAAAGGTAACTTATCCTCCCAATTGTATAAATTGAGCAAATGTGTCTTTGTAACCTGAGAAAACTGCCTTCTAACTGCTGACCTTCGCTCGGAAATGACTGCTGCAGGCCACACACACACACACACACCTCATCTCAGGTCGAGTACGATTCCAAAGGCAGAGAGTGACCTCTGATGAGACAACCTTAAGAGAACTGAACCCTAGAGTAATGTACAGTAGACCTTTGACAGTCACAGGGATATACCCCAATACCTCTGAGAACCATTGAATCATTAAATACTACTTCAGAATAATTTCTCTAGTACAAGTCTGTGCAATAAGTAGAGAAAAGGCAGGCTGGACATAGGAGCTGATGCTCGGGAATCAATTGGGCTTATTCAATGGCTCGCACACGCCAGCCTGTCAACCCTGATTCAAATTTGTGCTTCTGCAGAATCCGAGATTACTTTTCTGGTTTTAATACTTCGGAGTTATGTGCAAATAGTTGAGACCACACATGTTAAATATTTGAATGCTAATTGTCTTCTGCACTTCCTTTTATTATCATCATAGCCTTTGCATCAGGATACACAGCAATGATAGCAAATTTCCTTTTAAAGCTTAGTATTAAATATTAAATATCTCTCCCCATTTTAATTTTACATTACTCTGCCAAGAAAAAAATTAAAACTCAAGTTATCTGAAGCCTGGACACACTTCCATGATTAGCTGCTGCCTCAAAGTTGGTGCCTTCTTCCTGCTGTCATCAGATCCAGGCCCGAGACGGACCAGCTACGATCGTTTCTGAAAAGTGTGCTACAAAATGGATGGCCTGTTCCAAGCCAGGTTACAAAGTAAGGACGGGGGTAAGGGAGGGACATTTTCTTCCAGAAATAGAATTTCTGAAGAGTCCCAGTCCATCATTTTTTCCCAAAATGGTTGGAGGAGGGATAAAATCTCAACGTGAGCTTCAGAACGCTCTGTGCCAAGGGGACAGAGCTGCCTTGCTGAGGAGGGGCGTGGCCAGTGGACCACCCCTCCTCCGCGAGGGACATGGAAAGCTTATCCCCCCGCCCTGAGGCGGGAAGGTGGGCTGAAGCCTGGCTGGCACTGAATTCTCTAAGAGGTTTCTTCTAGAAACAGACAACTCAGACGCTTCCTTTCACTTCAGCAAGGAAGTTATTTTTGAAAGCACTTGGGAAGTTCCCCTCCAGCCTTGAGTGGGAGGCTCAGAGAAGAGAGTCATCGGTACAGCCGCCTTCCAAGCCGTAGCGGAATTCCTGAAGGTTGGAGACCCCATAGAAGTGGACGAAGGCTGCTGCCACCACCAGGACATGAAAAATCTGATGTGACTGGAACTGTAGGAACAAGAGGTGACCCTTAGAGTAATGGCAAGGAGGGATCAGACATGAGAAGAGAGCTCTTACCTCATCTAACTTCTCTCAAAGTTTTATGTCATGAAAATTATATATTTGCTATAATTTTTTTTTTTTTTAATATTTTGAGTTTTTACAGAGAGGAAGGGAGAGGGATAGAGAGTTAGAAACATCGATGAGAGAGAAACATCGATCAGCTGCCTCCTGCACACTCCTCACTGGGGATGTGCCCGCAACCAAGGTACATGCCCTTGACCGGAATCGAACCTGGGACCCTTGAGTCTGCAGGTCGATGCTCTATCCACTGAGCCAAACCAGTTAGGGCTGCTATAAATTTTTTGATGTTTTTATTGATTTGAGGGAGAGGAAGGGAGAGGGAGAGAACATCGATCAATTGCCTCTGGCATGGACCCTGACTGGCAGATTGTATCCACAACCAGGGCATGTGCCCTGACTGGGAACTGAACCAACCTTTGGTGCACAGGACGGACGCTCAAGGCACTGAGCCACACCCGCCAGGGCTAGAGAATTTAAAAAGTTGCGTCAGGGCTCAGCCAGCATGGCTCAGTGGTTGAGCCTTCACCTATGGACCAGGAGGTCACGGTTTGATTCCCAGTTGCAGGCTTGATCCCCAGTGTGGGGCAGGCAGGAGGCAGCCAATCAGTGATTCTCTCATCATGATGTTTCTATATTGCTCTCCATATCCCTTCCTCTCTGAAATCAATAAAAATAGATTAAAAAATAAATACAAGTGTCAGAAATACACCAAAATGTTCATATTGATCACTCCCTCCCGCTGCCCACTTCCCCTGTACATATATGTACCCCAAATACCACATGACCCCATGTCTGTACTGCCTTTTACTCAGACCTTTCACCTGGGGCCAGTCCCTGACCACAGGCACTGCCGGTAGAGCCGTTTCTTACCCATATGTCAAACTTTCCAGGAAAGAAGCGCTCAGGAATTCGAGCCGCATAGAGGCCAGCCCCGGTGATGTACATCACAGCCATGAGGAAGAACCAGCCCATCTGGCCCACGGTGGTGGCCTTGACGAAGCCCTCGGCGATGGTAAAGTGCATGGTGGGCACGACGCCACTCAGACCCAGGCCCAGGAACACCCCTGCACAGAGCAGACCAGACGGTCAGGGAGGGGACAGCTGTCACACGGTGCACACTGCTGCTTCGCTCTGGAATTCGAGTGTCTGTGATAATTAGCTACTTTTCAGGAAGTTTGGCCACAAAATGGAGAATAGTTAGCAGATATTTCTTCAACATCCGGAATGGGAAGAAGGCTGTGAAAGTGCTTATATACACGTTACCCTCTAAACAGCATCACGAACAAACATCTCACATTCTTCACTATTTGTTAGGCAAAAGTGACAGACCATACCCTCTGGTGGCATCAGATCTGTGAGCAGGAACAAGAGTTAAACGAGCCATTCTTCACCTGCTCGCAGTTCTGGTGCCATCGAACTCAGATGCAAAGCTTCAGGTGCCTCTGCAGTGGGGAGGGGTAGACAGTTCCCCAGGAAGATCGTACACTATGAAGTACCCAGGCTCTGACCTGAGCAGGTGGAGACATTCAAGTTAGAAGCTGGTGTAGCTGCTGGGACAGACAAGGGAGGTAAGAGGAAGGGAAGAACGGGCACCTGTCCCAACACAACGGGAGTTGGGGGGCGGGTCAGGGACCACCTCTCCACTCTTGACAGACCTGTTAAAGCGCCACGCCCAGCATGTGCTGATGATTGATGAACATTGAATTCTTTTAACTGAAAGTCACAACATACCAGAGAATAAGAAATCTCAAGAGGTCACTGGTGTTGCTGTAAGTAATAAAGCTTAAAATAGGAGTATAGGTGGCACAACCCAAAGATGCTCATGCTTTAGCTATTCCAGTAGTTGACCGGGGGCCTCCCATATGCACCCCGACTTGGGACCAAACCGAACGACACCCTGGGTATATGCCGACTGGGAATCGAATTGGTGACCTTTGGGTGCACGGAATGATGCTCACTCAACTGAGCCACACTGGCCAGGGCTGTACGTTTTGATGAGAGCAGTTATTTCTATACTTGCAGCTAATTGACAAACTTGGTCATTATGTGGCTTATTAGCATTCCATGAAATAATATGAAACCTGGGGGATAACGGAGCTTTAGAAGCCCATACTGTCGCCTGACTGCCATGGCTCAGTAGTTGAGCATCGTCCCATGCACCAAAAGGCTGCCAGTTCGGTCAGGGCATATCCCCCAGGTTGTGGGTGTGATCCCCGGTGGGAGTGCACATGGTCAATGTCTCTCTCTCGCATCGACATTTCTTTCTCTCCCGTTCTCCCTTCCAGTCTCTCTAAATTAATAAAAACATGAAAACAGCAGTAGAATACTGCTCTCAGGATTCTAAACACAAATCAGGGTTGGACTGGGGTCCTCAAACTGCAAATCTTAGGGCCTAAGGTTGAGCCTATTAGGGTCAAGGTTGAAAGACCTGTGAGATTTACATCACCTTCATACCCACCTGCTCTTGTCTGCCGGTGCTTAGGAGTGGCAAACCGGTCCCACTGTGCCACAATGATGGCGGAAATGCCCAGGACACAGATGATGGAGAGGTAGATGAGCCGTGGCTGTGGGGAGCAGTAGAAGGAGTAATAGAGCCATGGGACAAAGCTCCCCATAATCAGCAGGGCAATCCCTGAATAGTCCAGTCTGAAAGAGAGCCACAAAGTTAAAATGCATCAGTGGGAGAAATGAAGACTTCCTATGGCTCCTTTAACTGTTCGTTTTTCCCTCCATCTGCTCGCAGATCTGACCATCCCCCATCTCTTGTCTATATCCTGGATTGAAATCCACAAGGTTAAGCCCTTGTCTTTGCAGTGGAAGAGCTGCTAGGAGTCCCCAGTCACAGAACTCTCTTCCCCTCAGGCCCCCCACTGGGCACTTAAATTCAGCTTTTCGCTCAGGAGGGCTCTGACTGTTCCCCAGTTCTGACAAGTTGAGTTCTAAACACAAACCCTTAAATTGGAAGTAGCTGCTGTTTTAATTGACTTTTAAATGATAAAAATGTATTGCCATTACTGGTGTTATTGGGAAAAAAACAAAATAATCCATCCCCACCACCACCAACAACAACAGGCTCAGAATGAGGGATTATGGAAGGCAGCAGATGACAGGCATCTGGGGCTTCCAGCCATGTGTGGGCAGCGAAGATAAGCTGCTTGGCCGTGGGCAGGAGCACAGCAGAACGCAGCACAGGACACGGTGCCACGCCCATGGGCCCGGGCGCTTGGTCTGGAGAGTAGCCCACTCGCATCCAGCTCACAGGACAGCGCTGAGCAGGTGGGAAATACATTCCACGCTGGGTTCCAGCTGTTGGGGCTACCGTGCATTTTTTCATGAAGGATTTAAAAGAGCCTCATCACCCTATTACACCTACAAGGTAGAAAGCCTTCCCTTGGGCACAGCAGGGCGTCTTCAGGGCCCAGTGGGGTCCCAGTCCTCAGGTCACAGGATGGGACAGCAGGGCCCGGTATTCCCCTTACTCCTCACCCCCGTCCCAATGTCAGGCCTGTCACTCACTTGGAAAAAGTCCGAGAGACTTTCTCTGAGTGACAGTAGACAGTGTGAAAGAGCCAGGAGAAGCTGAGGCAGAGCACTGCGCCCAGGAAGAACATGCCGAACACCACCTTCTCCTGCAGGGGCGCCATGAAGTACATGTTTGGTCTCAGCATGGTCAAGATTCCCAGGAAGAGAAACAGCACAAAACCTAGAGGAGGAGGAACAGAGCTGGGGGGAGGTGTGCACTCTGACAGTTGGTGTTGCATCAGGACTAACATTATCGGGTTAGCAGTTCCCATTGTGTGGGAACCGTAGTCCAAAATTCTGGAGAAAATGGCACCAGCCACATAGGCCCCGACAAAAAGACCATTTAGGAAAATGCTGGCATTTTGCTGTGACAGTGGAAAGGTATGAAATGGAAGGAACTGCCTCCATGCTGGATAGTTCTTCCAGGGGTTACAAGACAACACAACACCTAGCTGCACCTTCTTCTCCCGTTTCCAGTCCCCCACCCCCCACCCCTGCCTGCTTACAGACCAATGACCAAGAGCTGACCACGCTCACTGGCAGTTCGGAGGCGCAATGCCAGCTTTCAGTCAGCCAGAACAACTTTGTTCTTCCTTGCCAGAGACACAGGCTATAAAACTCCTTTGCACTTAAAGAGACAAAAGCTGCATTTTCCACCCACAGCACTCACCAAGCAGATGGGTCCAGATATTGCCGGTCTCTGTGTGGATGCGGAAGATGCTCCGGAAGCAAGCCCGGAAGGAGGGCATGGGCGGCCTGTGGCCGTGGAGCAGGTAATCGTTGTCTTTCAGCCAGTCAGGGAGCACATCGTACGGGATGACCCTCCAGCGTCCCTCCCAGACCTGGAGCAGTGGGAACATGAATGTGCCTGTGGCTTTTAAAACCATACACTTCAGCCTCCTTGACCTGCTCCTCCTGGAGATTCTGGCTGCCCCTGCTCTGCCCTTCCCAGGAAACGAAATCCTCACGAGGCTGAGACCGTGTCCTTTAGAGCAGGGGCTCTCAGCCTCGGACACGTGGACAGTGAGCAGAAGCCAGGGACGAGATGGACAAACTTCTCGTTTTCACTCACCTCTAACTAAAATTCGACATTTCTCTCAATTTAAGTGTGAGCAGCAAACCACAGTAGGATTAGAACTGTGACTCTGTCACCAACAGAAATCACAGATATTTTCATACCTTAGTTTTGCAGATACCAACATATTTTTATTCATCACTACTTAGAACTTAAAAATTTTGTCCTGGCTGGGTAGCTTAGTTAGTTAGAGCTACCCAATACATAAAAGGCTGTGGGTCTGATCCCCAGTCAGGGCACATACAAGAATCAACAAATAAATGTATAGATAAGTGGAACAACAAATCGATGTTTCTCTCTCGCTCTCTCTTAAAAAATCAGTAAAATTTAAAAAAACCCACAAATTTTAATACAATATTTTAAAGCTTGTCATTAATGCATATTTAATGTTTTAATAAAGGAGCCCAATCACATTTTAATATTTTGATGACTGCCAAAGGGATCCACAGCAAAAATAATTGAGAGCTCCTGTTTAGTACATATATTTAAATATTTATTTATTTATTTATTTTTATTAAAGTATCACCTGTGTCTCCTTTTCCCCCCCAAATGCCCCTCCCCTGCCCCGTCGCCACTCCTGCTCAGAACATATTTTGAATAATGCTTTAACACATTAGGCAGTAAAAATCTGCTAGCCTGATATTTACTGCACCTTAAGCAAAAACAAATACACACACAGGAATCAAAGGTCTTTAGCCCACTGCAGGCCCACCTGCTGGGACACCCCCAGTAAGCCCACCGCCCCTCCCCTCCAGGACTAGCTCTCAGCACCTTATACACGAACTCCTCCATCTTCTCCATGGCATGGTGTGCTTGCAGGGGAAGTGTCAGGACCCTCACCTCCTCCTCCTCCTCCTGGGGCACTGGGCATGCTTGCTCTTCTTCAGCCTGTGAGAAAAAATAAACACAAACCCATCCTAGCAGTCACCTCATAAACCGTGCCATTGCAGGCCAGACATTCTAGGGAAACCCTAACTCAACGCTGTGTGCACAGGGCCTGTGGCCTCTTCTCTAAAGCATGGCAGTTAGTAAGTTCAGGACGCTCTAGTTCAGGATTGACTGATACTGTGTACATGCTGGCATGAAAGCTCAATTCACACAGGAGACAGGCTGATGGGGACACAGGATGAGCACGCTAGTCCCCTCGGTCTGTAAGTCTGAAGGCCCCCCTCACCCCCCCAATCTCTAGACCAGCGCTTCTCGAGTTCCCCCAATTTCCCAAATACTTCCATCTTCCAGACCACGAGATTCTCAAAGCAACGAGCAGGCCTGGGTCTCAGATCCCCGGAGGACTGAGATCAGCTCACAGTTCCGTTTGCGGACTTGGGGACGCCATGATGACAAAACTGTATCCTCAGGAGCACCAGGGCCCGGAACCGACTCCACAGAACAAGCAGCACTGACACTGTGCACCTGGGGGAGGAGCGCCCTCATGGAGGCTGCCCCGCGACTCCAAGCCACGGCGGACAGCCTGGCACTCAGCTCCTTCCCCGACATCCTCTCTCCCTCCCTCCTGCTGATGGTCCCTGGTAAGCAAACGGCCCCTCAGGCTCCGTGACAGATTCCAGCCTGCCGACCCCACAGCACACTCCCTCTTTCCTCCGTGACAGAGTCCCTGGTTTATTCAGAGCGGGCCAAGTCCTTGGTGTCGTTCCTGTGATTTTACTCAGGCCCAATGAGAAGGCTGCGTGGCCCAAGCTCCACTGCAGCTGAACATGACTCCACGACGACTTCCCACAGGTGGCGGCAAGGGCAGTGTCCTGAGACACTTCTAGAAAGGGCGGGTCCTTCTCCCCCCCTCCTTGGTGGTGGCCAGTGTGGGCCTGGTGGGTGACCTCAAGAATGAGGAGGAGGGTTTTCTTTGTGCTTAATCCCTTCGCCTTTTTCACCCAGCCCCACAACCCCCTCCCCTCTGACAGCTGTCAGCCTGTTCTCTGTATCCATGCGTCATGGTGATTATCTGAGGGAAAGCAGCGGGGGAGGTCGGAGAGGGTAAAGGGGGGAATAAATGGTGATGGAAGGAGGACACGCGATACCATATACAGATGCTGTATTATAGAATTGCACCCCTAAAACCTATGTAATTTTATTAGCCAGTGTCACTCCAATAAATTAAAAATAATCTTTTTAAATGAAGGAGGAGCAAGACAGGTGCCTGGCAGTGGCGCAGCCTCCACACAGCCTTGGCCAGTTCCGTCTAGAACCCTTTACTGGACAGACTTCTGTCTTGCCAGAGCCACAGGGATGTTTGTTTGTTATATGAAGCCAAACCTCACCTAACTGCACCCTTCGTTCGCTCAGCCATTTACTGATGACTTATAGGATTGCAGGCCTGCGCTAAGCACTGGGGTTACAGAGATGAGTGAACTCGTAAAAGTGTACAGTGGGGAAAACAGACAAATAAAAAGATCCTTTGACACAGCATGAGGAGGACGAGGTGAGACATTCCCAGGGTGCCCTGGTTCCTCTTCTGGGGAGGGAGTTGAGGCTGCAGAGGTTCCAGGAGAAAGTCCGATGGCGGAAATCACTCCGGGAAAGACAACTTACTTTGGCTGGGTCAGCGATCCCGCGTTTGCCCTTCTCTTCCAGCAGGGGTCCCAGTTCCGCCAGCTCCACCGTGTCAGTCTCCCGGTTACTGGCAGGAGCCCCATTGCCCTGTGCCACCACCGGTCCTTTGTGAGAAGACATCTAGCTGGTACCTCAGCACCCTGCAGCTTCAGCTTGGGGACAGGCTGGGTGTCTCAGCCCCAGGGGGCAGACACTAAAAGCAAACACAGACAAGAAGGGCTTTGACAATTTGCTCCTCTTCTGGTTCCATTTCCACAAGTCGGCACTGAGTACGATGCTAGCTAATAAACTCACATTCTGTCGCCAATTCTAAAGGCCACTTAATGCTAAAATGAAATCTACTCCTTCTTCCTCTTTAATAGCAGCCTTTACTCAGAACCCCACTAATCTCACAGATAAGGCTGAAAACAGAGCACTTGGTTGTTTGCTTTCAAAGCATCTGTGGTTTTTGTACCAAACTGTCACCACAGAAAAACAGTGTCTACCCTCAACTCCCCCACTTGTATGGACCCCATTCAGTGAGAAGAAACAGCCCATCAAGCCAAAGCTATTCGCCCAAGAAAGGTCTGGCTTTGAGACTGTGGAGCAAAAACATGCAGTCAACACCTGGCTGTAACTACAAGACCTCCCAGGCTTAGAAAGGAATTAAGTGCCAGCTGGACTCAGCTGGGTTTTACCTACAAATGCTCGGATAATGCAAATACCCTGCATGCAGAGGGAGCTCCTGGGCTAGCTGCCCAGTGGTTAATTTCTCTGTGAGGCCTCCTAATTCTATCATAGGATTAGAGCTTGGGTTCAACACTTAGAGAACACACTTCACCACCATTCCTTTAAGGTAACCAGTCACTTACCTGAAAGCAGGAAGCTGAGCACAAGGCGGTAGCCTTGCCCTTTGCCACACAAATCCCAAACCGCCGGCTCAGCAAGAGCCTGGCCAGCCACCACAGGTCGTAAGCAAAGCCCCACTCAAACGAGCCTTTCAGACACCAGACAGGCACCGATTCTTCAGGAAAACCAGGGAAACCTAGAGCTCCGTTTTCCAGGAAGTCTCCAAACCTCCAGGTCCTCCAGAGCTGGATGTCAGGTAGCAGTCTTTAATCAGGCCTCAGGGCGATGAAAATAGTATTGAAAGGTGCCCAAGGAGTTCCACTCTCCTGTAAATGACCAGGCTCTTCCCTCTCCCAGAAACACAGGAGCTGATGTCTCATAGCTGTAGTAGTAGCCCTAATATTAGCATTTTCTTGCCCTGGCTACCTGGGTCCCCATGACTCCAGGGCAATGCACAGAGGACCAGGTAACACTTTCTCATGGAATGAGCTGCTTTACAGGAGTGGAAACTTAAGCTTAGGGAACCAAAACCTGTATAAGGGGCAGTAAGTAAGCGTGACTCTGCTCCCAGGGGAGGCTGTCTCTTTCTTGTACGAGTTCTTCTTTTTTAAAATCCCAGAGTAATCACACTTTCTTCTCAGGGATTACAGTGGGTTTATGTAGGCAAGTGAGGGCAAGCCTCAAGTTTCAAAAGCCATGCTGTGCTCAACTCAAAAGCACAACGGAAAGCAACAAGCAAATTTAGTTCAAGAGACAAACAAAAATTCACTGTACAGAGGCCTTTCCATGGTGTCAACACAAAGAAAGTTCCTCTTTCTTCAAATGTGCAGACTGACAAGACAGAGGCCACTTAGGCAACAGCTGAGCCCACGGAGAACAGGAAACGGGAGGCCCCTGGACACCTCAGGAGAGAGGCAACCCACGTGAGAAGAAACGTTGGGAAATCCTTTTCAGTAGGCTGACCACAAAACATGTTTCCTCACAGGGAAGCACGACCTTATCAACGGCTTTACTGAGAAGGACTTCATATTGGAAAACATATATAAATAGCTTTGGGCATCTTGCAGAAGTCAGTCTCGAAAGGAGAATACACTTAGCTTAGTATACTGCTGGCAGTACTTCAGAGATGGCCAAAAAATTCTTCTCAGGTTCAGGGATCCAGTACTACCTCGAATAGATACAGATCCCTGATTCTGGTCAGAGCCCACAGTTCAAAAGGAATGAATGGATGAATGGGGCAGCTTTCCAGCCAGCAAGCATGTGGCTCATTAACCTCTTACCACTAGCCAAGGATTTAGCGCTTTCTGGTGCTGGTGGAGCTTTCTCCTTTCACTGAATATGTAACCAATGCATTTAGTGCTGCACCCTCAGGCCTTCTCAGGTCCTGTGCAAAATACAAAGTGGAACAAGTCAAGGAGCCTACAATCAGAGGGCACAAGGTAATTTGTGGCACCAGTAAAGCTAGGGATACAAGAACCCCTAAACTAGAACAGCCACACACACAAGTTCAGTTACTCTGAATGCTGGGAAACTATTTTAGGAGAAGCAATCAGAATAACATAGCCAAACGTTAAGCTGGGCAATCAGGGTCAAGAGATCAGATGCAGGACCCAGCTTGGTAGTCTTAAAATTTCCTCATTTGATCTGAAAAGTTCCTTCGCCCTCAAGTCTAGGTTCTCCTAGGACAGTGATGGCGAACCTATGACACGCCTGTCAGAGGTGACACGCGAACTCATTTTTTTGGTTGACTTTTCTTTGTTAAATGGCATTTAAATATATAAAATAAATATCAAAAATATGAATCTTTGTTTTACTATGGTTGTAAATATCAAAAAATTTCTATATGTGACACGGCACCAGAGTGAAGTTAGGGTTTTTCAAAATGCTGACACGCCGAGCTCAAACGGTTCGCCATCACTGTCCTAGGATAACCTCAGTTTTTGGCCATCATCAAAGTCTTTCCCGTTTCTGTCCAAATCATCTGCTGCTAATTTTTCTGATTCCCTCCAACTCCTCTATTACTCGCTCCTACACTCCCCACCCCCTAGCAGTGTCTCCTAGATTCAGTCACTAGGCCTAACACCCCATTAACTCATCAACCCGCCATCAGCTACACGATATGTCATCATGCAATGAAATACATACAGTGGAGGTCATCATAGTGAGCAAAAGTCCACTGTCCACTTTGGTCTTCTAAACTGTAGCAACACAGAGACAGGAGAGGGAGAGAGAGGGATCGGAGGTCTGGCAAGAAAGAAGAGCAGGTAATACTAGGAACTGAAAATAGTTTCTGACCGGGCAGACCACTCATAAACAGCTGGGAGTTATTACAAACGTCTTCGTCTCTATGATCTATAAAATCAGCATGAACCCTTAAGTTGTGAAGACTGATTCTGGGAGCACCAGGGACTTCAGCCAGCTATATCCTTATGTATTTTAAAACATTCACCACACCCAATATAGCAAATTATAATTGGGCCAAATCCCACCGAATGCATTTTTGATGGGATTTCTTTAATTCCAGCTAATAAGTCTTTACCACTAAGCTTTCTATCTGGATAAACCAGTATCAGAGAGTAGGATATGGAGGCAGGGGGGGTGTTTGTGTTCCTATAAATAAGATAATCTTGTGCCAAACTTGAGAAAGGACTGATTCTCAATCCCTCACCAGCCAGCTGGAGACATTTTTTGAGACATTTATGCTGAGAACCAGTCCCCAATTTTCCAGGCTATTGCACACTCCTTCCCTGGAGTCAATGGGCACAAGCTTCTAGAGGTTTTATTCTGGGGTCCCTGCACCCCTAGAGGTTCCATGGGTAGGCTCTGTGTATGCCTACCTGACTAGTCTAGCAGAAAAGACAAGAGAGCACACAGCTGTCTTCTCCTCTCGATACTCTCTGCTGGGAAAAGGCCGATGCTGAAAATTACCAACTGCAGTAACAGGACCTCGGCTTTCCTACTTGATGCCAAGTCACTGGCTTAAGAGTCTGAAGCGGAAAATCACAAGCTTATGTCCTTCGTAGCTCTTCTCCAGCTAAAGCAGCCCCAGCAGGAGGTCTTTTTTTTCCTTTCCCAAACAGACAGTAAGCTTTTCAAATGCCATGATAAAAAAAAAAAAGAAAAAGAAAAAGAAAAAAGTAAATGGTACACAGGCACATGCAGCAGTCCCTGTTTTAATACCTGGCCATCAGCACATTACAGATAACACGGTTAGTACACAACGTAGTGGTCACTTTACACTGGGTGCCCCAGAATCCCCAATGAAACAAACGCAAACCAAGTACACACTTAGAAGCCAATTGCTGGGAACTGGTTTGTCTGGGGGCACTTTCAAGGTCCTTTCAAACCAAGATAGCTACAAACTTTATAAATAATAACCACACCCCAACACTTCTGAGCAGAAAAAGAGAATCAACTCTGAGTGTAGTGAGAGGAACACAGTCCAGTGAGAGACATGAGGGACAAATGGGCGTTAAGGAGAAAATGTAATGACCTTAATGGGTACCAACACCAGAAAACCCCCAACATAATTCACACAGCTTCCAACTTAAAGAGGAACGTTTAGTTCGCCAGTGTGACCACAGGAGATGGAAAGGAACAATGTAACGTATCCGGAGTGTCAGTGTGGCTTTACGTTAGAAGCAAGTAGAGACCTTCCAGGGAAATAGAGAACTGGCCTAGAAAGAAACACAAATTTTGTTTCTGTTCTTTTTCTTATTTTTTTCCTTTTTAAGCCCCCCCGCCCCCCCCCCCCCTAAAGAATTCTTGGAAAGGTAAGCTGAGGCCAGCCTGGAGAAACGGAAGATGGCCTGACAGCCCACCTAGGCTGGTGCACTTGACCCATTAGCAGTGGGAGCTCTGAATTAATGCTGCTTCCTGACACTTCCCTGAGATTCTTTCCTACTTGCAGGTAAAGGGATTGATTTAATCCCTGGAGAATCACAGAAATGCTTGGCCGCTGAGAACAGAACGCTTTCAGAGTCTGCTCTGCAAGCAGGTACAGGGGAGGTGCTCCAAGCTGGACCTCCGCAGGCGGTAAGGCTGACTCCCCAGGTGCCAACCAGGGCAGGGGCAGCAGCCCCTCCCGGAATCACTGTGGCTGTGAGCTGGGACTCGCTGCCTGACACTGCGATCTGTTAAGCACCCAGAGTTCCTCCGACCGCAGATTCTGCACAAACATCGAGCAGCAGCTGCACCGGGACAGGCGGCCCGGCCCTCCAAGACGAAAGCAGCGAACAGACCCCACTTCATTTCAGAAAAGAGCCATCGCAGCGTTCACTTATCTAAGTGGCAGCTTCCGTCCCTGTCGCTGTCGGTGCTAACTACCGGGGGAAGACTACGGTTGCTCCTAAGTCCTACTGGGCTCCTCCGGCTCCTCCCACACGGGTTCCGTGTCAACCGAAGTGCCTCGTCAGGTTCCCACCGCCGAGGAAGCAGGAAGAACTGAGGGAAAGCATCGATCTACTTTATTTTCTTGAAAACCAAAGGCGTGAAGGACAAATCTTAAACATAAGATGGCAAACATCAATGCAGAATTTCTGAGGGGATGGAATTTCGTGTTTCCCCGAAGTAGTTTAGCCTTCGCTCCAGGTCGGCGTTTAGGATTCCCGTAAACAAAGGTGCACCGTCCGCTAACCTCTCCTTTCCCAACACCAGGGAGGAGGCAGTGTCTGGTCTGATCGGACCAAGACCAGGTCGAGGACCCTGGGGCTCTCGGGCCCCAAAGGTGCTCTCGCTGGACGGGCGGTCCTGCGAGCCGGCCCCCACCCTCCCTCCGCTCCCCCCGCGCTCGCGCCGCCGCCGGGACCGGGCTTCGTTCTGGGCCCGGCCCGCCCCAAGCCAGAGCCCGAATCCCGACACCTCCCCGGGCGGGGCGGGAGGACACCGCACTCACCAGCACGGCCGGCAGCTCGGAAGCCGGGGCCGCGGCCCATCCGCCCTTAAGAGGCTTTCGAGGTCGCCTCGGAGGCGGCGCGCGGCTGGGAGGGGCCGGAAATGTTTACAACACGGACCGCGGAGGACCGGAGGCGGGCGGGGGTCTCGGACCTCGGGCCGCCCCCGTCGCAAACCGGGGCCTAGCGCCTCGCGGCCCCCCAGCTCCCACCCACTCGCTCGCCGCCGCCCCCGAAACTTACCGCCGGCGACAGGCTCAGGTGGGGCCGCGGAGCCCGCGCTACATCCCGCGGCGCCGCAAGCGGCCTGGAGCCCAGCGGCCCTGATCTGGACGCTCCCCGCGCCGGAAGGGGGCCCAGCGCTGACGTCACCTCTGCGCCGCAGCTCCGGGCCCCTCCCACGGGGGGTCTTCCTCCAGCAGGCCAATCACAGGCTCGCTCCCCTGGGCCACGCCCCTGCGCAGCTCCAATCCCGAGCCCCGCCTCCTTGGCTGGGTGAGGACCACACCCCCAGCTGCACGCGGGAACGCCCGGCCGAGGAATGTCGGGGAGTTGGCTGCACCCGCCCAGTTTCATCCCTTGCGCCCGTCCTCTCCGCTGGCAAACCCCCCCGCCCCGATCTCACCATGGCCGGTGCCAGTTGTTTGCTCCTCCAAACACTCCTGAGCCCCTCTTCAGCCTCTTGGTCCCTCCCACATTGATTGACCGGAACCATCACGTGCGAAGTGCTGGGCTGCGCTTTAGTTCGGCGCCTGTTATTTCTTGCATAAACAGAACTGCCTCCAGCCTTGCTCCAGAACTCACTGCCCAGTCTGTGCTCCCACGCTCCGGCCTGTGAGTGCAGGTCTGGGAGACCACAGGTGGTGCAGCCCCCCTGTAACCACAGAAAGTGATTTGAGGCAGTGATTTTCAACCGACGAGCTAGATCAGCAAAATTTATATTTTTTGGTGTGCCACAGAATTTTAAATTAGTTTACATGGGCTATGAGATGAAACAGGTTGAATATCACTGATCTGAGGGACCACTTTCTCAGTTCTCCGGAGGATGGTGCCTAACTAGTGCGATTTTAGATGGTAGCTGGTTACAATCTATGGATGCCTGGAGGCAGTGAGATTCTCCTGGTGCTGGTTAAAAGCATGAGCTGGAGTAACCCAGACCCAGGTTTCCATTCCTGGCCAGCTGATGATCTTGAACACCTTACTGAATGCCTCACCTGGAAAATGGGAAGAAAACCGTGCTCCTTCACTGGGTCTTTGTCAGGATTGAGATGATTTATGCAGGCTCTTCTATGATGCCAGGCAAATGGCAATGCTTCATACATGTTGGCTGTTATGTGATGCCTGCTGTATAAAACCCCCAGAAACATTCATTGTCCACCGGACTGACTTTAATTTTCCTCAGCGAGACCTTTGCCAAATCCTTAATCTTAGACTCAGGATGATCATAAGGATTAAATCATGAAAACTTAAGCAAGTGTCTGGTTTGTGGCTGTGAACTCAGCGACGTTTTTTCTTCTCTTCCTCCTCTTCTGAATACTCCCCCCATCCACATCTTGTATCTCTACTCTAGTATTAATCACTGTGTCGTAACTACTTTTCACATGTCTATTTTACTTTAGACTAGGAGCTCTTTGGGGGTCAGAGACCAGTCTTGTCACAGTGGTATCCTGCGCTGAGCACGGTGCCTGGCACATGGCAGGTCCTACAGAAATGTTTGCATACTGAGTGGATGAGACAGAAACCCATGCAAAACAAGGAATGGTGAACTTGTGTGTGAAGAATTTTCTTTGCTGGGCTGCTTTATTATCTGAACCCAACAATCCTAAGCACGATTTTCCTTTCTGGATATGAGGAAGCTAAGTGTCTCCCCCTGTATACACATCTAGTAGTACGCACATACTAGCTGATCAAGAAATGTTTGATAGAATACCAATAACAGGATTAACTGATGATTCTGCTTTATGGAAGGGTTGAATTCTCAGGTCCCATAACCCTTCTTTTAGGGCCCAGAGAAAGCAATACATGGTTCCATGCAGAACAGCAATGCTGACCGTTCCTCCCGAGACTGATGCATAGTTCCGTCCCAATGGGACTAACAAAGATCTCAGAAAGCTGCCTGGTCCAACCCTGGGCGATGGGAGTGGACTGGGTCATGACGTCATAGCAGAGGAGAGGGCAAATGGATGGGCCGGGGAGGCCACCTCTGTCCAGGCACCAGTAAGTCTGGCTGGGCTGGTGATGTCAGGTTATTGTTTTTAAAAATCTATTTTTATTGATTTTAGAAAGGAAGGGAGAGGGAGAAAGAAATAGAAACAATGACCAGAGAGAATCATTGATTGGCTGCCTCCTACAGGCTCCCTACTGGGGATTGATCCCCCAACCCGGGCATGTGCCCTGACCGGGAATCGAACTGTGACCTCCTGGTTCACAGGTGGACACTCAACCACTGAGCCACACCGGCTGGGCTTAGGTTACTTTTAAAGGAGAAGGCTTCTCTTCCAAACAGAAAGACAATACTTACATTTTTTTGCCAGGTACCCTGAAGGATGAATATGGTGAAGGAAGGGTCAAGAGAAGGGAGAAGGAAGAGTGGCCAACTAAAGGACCACGGACCTGGGCTCAAACCGCATTCCCTCTAAACTGCTCTGTCCCTGACCTGAAAAGCCTCCAAGGAGAAGCTAGGCTTCTGCTTCTGCTGAGACAACTGTAAAGATGATCACGGTTTGGGGACAGCTTACATTTTAGCACACAGGACAACTGCTCCAGGGTTCTTGGGAAGACCTGGAAGAATTCTGTGCTGGGAAGCCCTTCCTCCCAAAACTCTCAGGTGTGAAAAGCCTTGGCGACAAGACCCCCAGACACAACAGTCCTATAGGTATAACACTGGGGCCTTAGCCCATTTATTTGCATAGCCAGAGGTTCCTGCCACAAGCAGCAGTCTCAGACTGTGGATAGCCATTTCCCTCTAGCCTGGGCTGGGCAGAAAGAGACAGACATGCAAATACATATTTGAGATTCCTCTCTCTGAGGCCTGCAGGTCTGAAGAAACCACCTGCTCCTTTCCTGCAACCTCTGTAAGATTAGCTTTAGAAGTCTGCTCAACTTGCACTCACAGAATCTTCTACCAGTTAAGCACTGAGTAGTAAGTAAAACCCATTACATAGGTTGTTCCTTTCAACACAGACAAAGAAGAGTGTGATGCTACCCAGGAAATAGCCAGGCTCGGGACGAAGGTACATGCTTCCTTCTTCCTGACCCATGGAAGAGACTGCTCCATGGCCTGACCTGGACCTTTTGTCACAGGGAGATTTGGGGGGCCTTCCAGGGAACGCCTCGGCCTAGCTCTCTCCAGGGCTACAAGGATGCTGTTCCTGTAGGTACCATCAGATTTCAGCTTCAGAGAAGGACAAGAGGCTTACCCTTCCAGGAAAGAGATCTAGGACTTACAGCAAGCGAGCACTGACCAGGAACATTGCCGGGAACGGGACCAGGGAAGCCAGGGGACGATCAGTAGGTGAAGCGCATCTTTTGAGAATAGCCCAGTTTGTCCAGGTTGGGGTGGCAGGCCAGCTGCACCATAGGGGGAGGCCCACAGAGAAGCAGCAGCACGTCGTCCCCCGGGGAAGGCAGGTGCTCCTGGATCATGTCCGCAGTCACAAAGCCCTGGCTGTAGGCCCAATCTGCAGTGGAGAGAAGAGGAGAGAACAGTCACTCCAGACCCATGCTGGCAAGGGGTATAAAGCCTGAGGTGGGGAGGCCCAGGAAGGCTCTGGAGAAGGTGTCAAGTGAAACACAGCCTGCACTCAGCCTGCCTCAGCAGCACAGCCAATCCTGCCGCCCACCGGGTGAGCAGGGACCTGAGGGAAAGGGCCGGGACACCCCTGCGTCCCTGCACACAGACTGGGGAGCTCAGCCGTGTCAGGGAGGTTGGTTCCACCGAAATCAGAACCCAATAGGGGCAAGGTCCTGGTTCTGGGATATCCAGAATGGGGCAGGTACCTGCTGGGGGATGATCAAGAGTGAACCAGAGTTGAAAGCGACTGGGGTATTGGGCCTGCAGTTCCTCCAAGTCCTCCCGTAAGATTATGTCCTTTTCAGTCTGAAATGAAAAGGAGAAACAAAGTCTTTAGGAATCTTCTCAGGCCCACATAACATTTTGTAACCAGGAGAGAAAAAGAAAGCACGACTTTTAGGTTGGTTAGGATGAGGAGGAAGGAGAGGGGAACAGGTTTTATTTACACAGCATGAAGAAATAAAGATGGCATATCTAACCAAGGTAACCCAAAGAGCAAGTTTTTATGCTCAGGACGATATTCCCAAAATGTTTTCTTTTCTTCTTTCCTTGGGCCCAGGGAAGGAATTGGCTCAGGGCTTTGTCCTCTTATGGTAGCAGAGGGTCCTCTAGCTACAGGGGGATCTTGGGCACTGGCCTGTTTCTGCCCGTGGGTGCCACATCTCTGAGCTGACCCACACAACTGAAAAGTCCCAGGACTGAGAAAAGCAAACCAACCTGGTTGGCAAAAAGCAAAGAGCACTGGGTTGGATCTGTGGGGTCTTTCAGGATGGCCCGGATCAGCTGAAGCATCGGGGTGATTCCTGCATAGAGAGCCACAGGGAGACATGGTAGTCACAGCCTACCTGTTCTGGCTCCTTAGCCAACCAACGCTTTCATCTGAATGCTTCCCATTCACCACTGCACCAGCTTCATTCAGTGTCCAAGTCCTCTAACCTCCTGTGTATTCTCCAGCACCCACAGTTCTGGACAGACATGCCTCTTACCATAAACTCACAAAAACTGGTATCTGGTAGGTGAACTGTCGTCATGCTCAGTTCAAGCCACCCTCATGCTGCTGTGGGCTCATATTGTTAAAGTCCTTCTAAGACTTCCTCCAAACGTCCCCTGTTGGCTAGGACTCAGATGTCACAGGTGCTGACTCAGTGGGACAGTCCTGAACGGGGCTTGCAGGTTCAGGGCAAGTGCTCTGGAAGCAGACAGAGCTGGATACTAATCCTTTACCTCTTAACCTCTCTGCAGCTGCCTTTTCTCATCTGTAAAAGGAAAAGGCAAGTACCTACTTCATAGACACAGACGTAAAGAGCCTACCACAGTGTCTACTATGTGGAAATGTCCAGTGCTAACTTTCTTCTTGACTGGCCTGTTTCTAGCTGTGTCCCTGTTCTCACCTAAAGGAGATCCATTCAGTGGGAGGTCTTAGGAGAGCACACCTGAGTTATCGCTCATTCTGTCGGTTAAAAAATTGCTTTTGGTTTCCACCTGATCATGATTTTGTTTTTCAGGTACTGGGGAGCCCTGGGCATTGCTGGGAGTCCCAATTACCAGCTTGATCATGATTTCAAAACCTTCCGAGGGTCCCCGGGAAGTTTTCATGGCAACACCAACAATGGTGGGAGAGAAGGGCCCCCAAGCAACACACACCTGTCCCGCCGGCGATCATGCCCAGTCTCTTTGCCACTCGGAGCTCTGGTGGAGACTTTTTGTTGGACTGAATGCTAAAATTCCCTGAGAAGTCAAGAGAAGAAGTGATGGAAGAGTGAAGTCAACATAGGAAATGAAGAAAACAAATGCAGAACTAAAAACGTCGCAGGCCAGGTTAGCAGCTGCAATGAAATCTGACCCTGGAGCTGGGCGGACATCTGAGTTGAGCCAGTCCTGATAATACACAGGAGGGTCAATGGGGCCAGGATCACATGGCCTGTATTATTAACTACCAGTCAGTTTAGGCCACACAGTGAGTCAGCAGCTGCTTCGGGCAGAGGGTCACCCCTAGTGAGGGCAACTGGCCTGGGGACAGGTGTGAATCTACTTTTCCAAGTGCACAGAACAGCCCCAGGGACTTGCTAATGCTGTTCCCCTGGGAAGGGCTAAAAGCTCTCTCTGGCTCCCTAAACAGCTTAGCCCGAGGGGCAAATCTGTGAGGCAGGGCTGCTTTACTTATCTCCACAGCTGTCATGGTTGGCGAATTCAAGTGGACAGGGGACTGATCCTGATCCTGGTGACAAGTGGACTGAGCCCTCTGCCTCTCAATACTGTCAGAGCTATGTGTACAGGAAGGCAGCCCTGGCCCCCTGCACGGCACGTGTGCCAAGAGGACTGGAGAGCTGGGAGAGGCTCAAGGAGCAGAGGGACCCTTACCTTTCCCCATGTAAGTGAGCAACCCACTCGGCCCTCGAAATTCCACCACATCCCCAATCTCCAGGCTGTCCAGGTACTGAGACATCTTCCCTCCCTCAGGAAATTTGGGGTGCACACCTTTCAGGTAGACCTGATAAGACATAATGGAAAAGACTTTATTTGGGAGGACATAAGGAAGGCCAAGAGACATATGAAAACACGCTCAAAGTCACTATGAGCTGAGAGATGCAAATCAAAGCGACAATGTGGTACCATCTCACACCTGTCAGAATGGCTACCATCAACAAATCAACAAATGACAGGTGCTGGAGAGGATGCAGGAGGAACCCTCCTTCACTGCTGGTGGGAATGCAGACTGGTGCAGCCACTGTGGAGGACAGTATGGAGTTTCCTCAAAAAACTAAAAATGGAACTCCCATTTGACCCAGTGATCCCACTTCTAGGAATATATCCCAAGAAACTAGAAACACCAGTAAGAAAGGATATATGTACCCCTATGTTCATAGCAGCACAATTTACAGTAGCTTAGATCTGGAAACAGCCTAAGTGCCCATCAGTAGATGAGTGGATTAAAAAACGGCGGTACATCTACACAATGGAATACTACACTGTGGTAAAGAAGAATTCTTACCATTTGCAACAGCATGGATGGAACTAGAGAGCATTATGCTAAGTGAAATAAGCCAGTCAGAGAAAGAGAAGTATCACATGATCTCACTCATTTATGGAATATAATGACCAACATAAACTGATGAACAAAAACAGATCCAGAGACAGAGAAGCATCGATCAGACCGTCAAACCTCAGAGGGAAGGTAGGGGAGGGTGGGGGTAAGGAGGAGAGATCAACCAACGGTCCTGAATGCATATAAGCCTAACCAATGGACACAGACACCAGGGGGGTGAGGGCATGAGTGGAGGTGGGGCAATGGGGGGATAAGGACACATATGTAATGCCTTAATCAGTAAAGAAAAAAAAGACTTTATTTGGACTCTCACTGATTTCTGAGGCCCCGCTGACTGAGCCTCCCTAGGCTGGGGCCATATACGCACGTGCTATGTTTTCCCCAGTCTACGCACTCTTCATATCTACAAAGGACACACGCCTCCTGCTATCTAACAAACTTAGAAGTATCCTCAAATCCCAGAAAAAGTAGGGTGGAGAGCTCCTGGGGTTCCTTCCTACCCCCTTACCTTGATGACAAGATCCACATAGCCTTGGTCTTCGTTACTGGTGACAGGAGTGTATGGCCTGATGACCAGGCTGCCATCGATTCGGGCTGAGAGGTAGACATGTTTGCCTGGGGACCATGTAGAGAACGACATGAGGGTGGCTTGTGGATGTGCTGTGTTCCAGTTACCTCTCAAAATACCCAGGGAGGTTTGAGAGAACAAGGACGTCTTGCCCCAGTCAGCTACCAGGCAGGGAGGATTCACCCCTTTGAGCCCCCCGTTGGATCCCTCTTCAATACCCCAGTGGATAAACTCTTCTGTTACTACCAGGACCTTGGCAGCAGCAGCAGAGATGCTAATGGGTATGAAATTAGTGGTTGCGCAGGGGGAGGTGGAGCAAATCCTCCAGGAAGGAGGGGGCCTGCTGAGTGTTAAAGATGTCTGGGGCACAGAAGCCACACCCTAGAATGACCCAGGGACAACCTGGAGGATCCAGGCAGGCGAGGAAGGGGAGAGTGCGGAGGGAGGAACTAGACGAACGCTGCGTGTTTTGGGAGGCTCGGGAAGGAGAATCGCGCTCTTAGGATGCTGGGGAAAGGAGCCCACACGTTCCTTACCCACAGGCAGCCCCAGAGTGTGCTGGGCGGTGGGCAGGGCAAATCGGAACCTCTTGGTGTTGTGGCTCACAGTCTGGAGGACGGATCACAGTGTCAGCAGGACATCCCGACCACAGTGGATGCGGTGGCTTCACACCAGGAGGGGAGCTCTGGTCCCGCCTCTACCCGCCCCTTCCTCCGCAGCTCACCGTCTTATCCAGCAGCCGCAGCAGGTACTTCTCATCGGGGTCCAGGAGAGTGACCCGTGGGCGGCGGGACCTCCGCACCAAGTAGGAGCCCAGAGCCAGGCCGAGCAGCGTTAGCAGCCCCGCCCCGAGGGAGGCCAGCAGCGCTGGGCTCTGTGGGGAGAGGAGGCACTGTGACCGCCCCGCGAGAGGAGAGCCCGCGGCGCAGGACTGAGCGTCCCGCACGACCAGCTGCCCGAGCCCCAGGGCGGGAGCAGGCGCCGGCCGGAGGGGTTTCTGGGGCAGGGTCCTGGGACCCGACATCAGGGCGAGGGCGGCGGGGAGACCCCAGTCCCATAGCTGAGGGGCCAGAACCAGATGGAGTGGAGTCCCTGGGGCCGGGCCTGCAGGTCGGTCTCACCGGCTGGAACCCCATGACCGAGCACCGCGTCCTCCGCCGCTGCGCCCGGGGGGCGTTCCCACGAGTCGCCGCGCGGGGGCCAGAGGCGGGGCCTGGAGGGAGCTGGGCTGGAAGGGGCGGTGGGGGGCCTGGCACCGGGAGGCGGTAAGGCGTGGGTCCAAAGAAGGCGGGCCTGGCAAAGAGGGGAACCCGCGGAGAGCTGGGCTGGAATAGGCGGGGCTGGACCCGTCGGGGAGGGAAGCGGAAGAGGCGGGACAGGAAGAGGTGAGGCCTCGCTGGGAGCGGGCCGGAAGGGGGTCCCGGAAGGGGCGGAGCTGACAGCAGTAAGGGGCCGGAAGCCGGAAGTGCGGGGTCTGGCGACAGAGGACCAGAAGGGGCGGAGGGGTGAGGGTTGAGGCTGCAAAGAGCGGGGCCTGACAAAGCGCGAGGTAGTGTCGGAAAGGGCCGGTCTGAAGGTGCGTGGCCTGGCAAGAGGGGGCATGGAAGCTGCGGTGTCGGGAGGGGCGGGGGGCGGGCCTGACCACAGTCTCGGCCCGGAAAAGGCGGGGCCTGTGAGCGGCGCCGGGGACGAAGAGATTGGCGTGAAAGGGGCGGGGCTGTACGGCAGGGGCGAGGCGGAAGGGGCGGGGCCTGACCCAGGGCTTGGGGACCGGAAAGGGCGGTGCGGAAGGAGCGGGACTCTCCCAGGACTCGCGGCTCCAGGCGGGGCGGGGGCTCCTTGGTGGGAAGGAGCGGGAGTGTCGTGCTTGTGTGCAGATGAGAAGTAGGGCCGGTCACGGTGCCTCTTCCCTCTCCCTGGCCCTTGGAAGCCGAAAGGACATTGTCTTCTCTCTCCCCCTCACACTGTGTCGCCTAACGTGGCCCATAAAACTGGGTGCGGTTGAGCGCACACCTCTGCTCGCCGGGGGCCGGCTGGCGCGCCTCTGCGGTCGGAGTGTGATTTTCAGTGGCGCTTCCTTTCCTTCTCACACGCACCCCAGTCTGGACAGTAACTTACACGGTCACCCCGCTCCGAGTGCACAGGCCTGGGCCCGTTCCTAGCTTTATTTCCTGCCGGCCATGTAGGCTGCATTCCCCAGGCCGGTCCCTGCAGAATCCCCGGTGTGCCTCTAGCGCTCCTCTTCCTCGGGCTGAGTCCAGACCCTGATCTGCCTGATGAAGAGCCAGGAGCCCTGAGAGGCCAGCACCAGCAGTCGTATGCAGCTCAGCTGCTCCACGGCGCCGTCTTCGTAAAACACCCTCTGGTCCAAGTTCCCCTGCACCAGCGGGCCCAGCACGGTGTAGCGCGCACAGCCTTCGGGGTGCGCCAGGGGGTCGTAGCCCAGTTCTACTTGGCCCTGCTGCAGCCGGTACTGCCCCTGTTTGTCAGCACCTGTCAGCACCTCTATGCGGACCACTTTCTGTGGCCTTTCCAAAACCACCACCAGGTAGTTGCCCCTCAAGGCATCAAGGGTGACGTAGCTCTCCGTGTTCAGAAAGTAGGCGTACTGGGGAATCACATTCGGTATCGGCCTCATGTCAGTGAGGACACTGGCTACCGGGTTGTCCGGATCACCAAAGACCACTTCCTTCTCCACAGGAAAGCAGGTGTCCTCGGATGCAGAATAATTGCCCGTCGGATAGAAGACGGAGGGACTGAAACGAATAGGAACATGTTGGGCCAAGAGAAGGCGGAATTCAGAGAGAAGCAAGTGCGTAGGCGTGTCCTTAGGGAAGAGGAGGAGGAAGGTGGTCAGGCGGGAGAGGTCGCTGCTGTGGAAGACTTTCCCGGAGAAGCTCAGGCTGGAGAACTCCAGGGTCACCCAGGGTCGTTCTTTCCAGGCTGCCAGTGCCCAGTAGATGGTAGAAACAAATTTGGGGGTGCAGTCAACGTGATCTTCTACCATCAGAAAGTATTCAGAGAGGCTGACGGCGAAGTTCATAAGGAGGGCGTAGTCGACTTTCTGCCTGGAATAAACAGCTTCACAGGGTGAGGAGTCATTGATGTTGCCCCGATCTCCTGTGACAAGAGAGCCACTGAGATGACCGTGGATCACAAGCAGCTTCTGGGCCTCAAGATGAGTTTGGAAGAGGCCTGATATGTTGGCGACCATTTGGCTGAGCCATGCAGGGTCAGGATCTGACAGGTGGACCAGCACCACGATACAGTCCAGCTCAGACTCTGAGGAGGCTTGGAACAGAGACTGCAGGGTGTGCAAGAGGGTGCTCCCATGAGGACGCTGCACTGAGGAGATCCCCACCGTCAGTAGTTCTGCGGGGGGAGGCATAGGGCACCATTAGCACTCGAGGTGGTGACAAGACCCTCCGCCCCTCTCTCCTTAATGCCAACCCCTGGGGACAAAGTCACATTTCCTTTCCCTTGGAGAGTGTGGTTAGATAAGAGATTAATCTTTGGTTAGACTGTGAAGTGGTTTTATTTGATCACTACTTTGCAAGGTCGTTGGAGGATAAGGCTCTCTGATGGGGAGGCTGCCCTGTACCAAAGGGAAATCTGCTGGCGTGGCATATGAGCCGGGACCTCAGACCTGGATGGCAGGGTCTGCAGGGACAGAGGAACCGGAGGGCTCTCGTAGTACAGTGCCCAGTGAGCTGGCACCCATCACATTCATCTCCCTCTGGGTCCTCCCCCTCCCTCTTCCCTCAGTCTGACCTCTCTCCCGCGTGCTCACTCTTCTCCTGGGGAAGGGCTCCAGCCAGGACTTGGTAGCTGGTGAGCTGGAGCACAGGGGAGCGTCTCTGCATCTCCTTGAAGGTCTCCAAGTGGTTCTTGCTCTCAGAGCTGATTTGCTCCTGGCCCAGCTGCTGCAGCATTTTCTTCTTTTCCTCCTGCTGAGGATGGATAAGCATCAGCCCTGAGCTTCACCCCAGCTCCTCTGGAGACAAATGAGGGCAAATCTTCCTTCTAGGACAGACCAAGTAAGCCCCAGGATCCAGTCACCAGGGAGCTCGAGTATCGGGGCTCAGTGAAGCACTGTCCCCACCTCATCATGAGAAAACCCGTGGTGCTGGAAGGGGTGGTGGGCCTTGGAGTCGGGGAAGTGGGGCTCTCCAGTTCTGTGTGGAATGCCTGTGGGAAGGTCCCAGGCTTCTGCAGAGTAAGAACCTGCCTGCCCCACCTTGCCCAGGTCTAATTTCTCCACCATTACCGGCTGGCAGAGCCCCTGGCTCTGCTTGGCCTGTGCTGGCTGCTGGGACAGCTGCTGAAGACCGAGCTGTCTTGTCCTGAAGGAACGACACCGGTGCCTCAGTTCTAAAGGCCTTTCTTCGCTCAGTTCTGGCCGCACACTTCCCCACAGCCACCTCCCCCTCTGCTCTAGCCGGTCCAAGGCACGTGGGGAGAAGATGGACCCCAGAACCTGAGCATGACCTTCTCCACTGCAGACGCTGTGCATGTGGGAGGAGTCATCTTAGGGCTTGAGTCTGTCCCTGAAGGGAGGATGGGAGGACACCGTCTCCTGAGGTGAGGAGAGTGGCAGCAGGGCCGCCTAGAAGGTCTGGGCAAGGCTCTCTCCACACGTAGAATGCCCTCTTCCTCCCTCACCCTGCGCAAATCCTGGCCATATTCAAGGCGGGGTTAATACCTTTTTTTGACACGTTCCTGAACCTTCATGTGCCCTCTTCTTACAACTTCTATGATGATGCTTGCATGTTTGCATAACTGGACATATTTCCTCCCTGCCGAAGTGTTGGCAAGTAATCCCTCCCAATTTCTGGAACTTACCGAAGACACGCTGTGCTCAAGGCGCCTGTTCCTATTGTCCTGGAGGAAGAAGCTCAGGGAGATGAGGGACACAGCCAGGAGGGAGGACCTCCACAGCGTCATGGTACTGGGCCTGGCACTTGGCAGCAAGTGAGCAGGAGTTGGATCCTGAGAGAGAGAAGCCAGGCATGTCCTCCTGTTTCCTGCGGCCTCCCCTCCCTGCCCCCACCCTTGCTCCTGGACACCTCTGCCAATTTACTTCCTAAATCTTTTCCACCCACTTTGGCCCCCCGCTACATTCCCCCCAATATAGCCATCTAAGGAGAGACAAAGGTCATGGAGTTTGGTTCTATTCAGCTGCTGCCTTCTTCAGCTCCTGTCTGGGTTTCCAGGTGGAACTGGAGCACATTGGTTTAGCCACTTGGAGTACAGGCACCACCAGCGGGGATGTGTTGCCAGAAATCAAGGGTTAGGTGTTAGCTCCCTAAACTCAAACTTGAGTTAAAGTCTCCACTGGGGGTTATTTCAGACAGATTATGAGGTTTTGAATCAAGTCAGAAGGATCAAGGGAAACTCTTGCGTGTCTCCCCCACCCTGGACTGGTAGGAAGGATGGAAACCTAGAAGTGGCTGGAAATTTCTAATCCTGTGGAAGTCTTGACCAGGTTTGCAGAGCCACAGCGATTGGAGGCTTTGTGTCTAACAGAAAGTGTGGCTTGATAAGCCAGCAGAGAGCAGGGATTTCTCTGAAATCACAGAGAAAAAAACTTCAATGCTGCAGGGTGGGAGCCCAGAGGGGCTCCTCTGAGGCAGCAGAAACTAGTCACCATCCCAGGAGACCCTCCCTGACAACCATTGTTCACCCTGAATGGGGACTGCTCACATCAAGCACCTGTTTCTGGATACGGTGGGAATAAGGGTTTAAAGCCAGCTTTCCAGTCTTATCTCAACCCAGAAGCTGAAAATTAACTGTCAGCTTGAATCAAATCGACAAGGGTGGATATTGAGTGATTGCTTCCCTATTAGAGGGCCCCATACGGCTCCTGGAGGAACCATCCATGTTACAGGATATCCAGTTATAGGGCATGTGCCCTGACTGGGAATCGAACTGGTGACCTCCTTAAATGTCTGGGTGTTTCCCTTTCCCCAGCTTACAGTTACCCAAGTACATGTCTGTAAGGCACTGTGGTGGTGGTGGTAGGGTGTCTGGGGAATCTTACAGGATTTGTGTCTCAGGGACCTTCCTTCTAGGGACCTGCCCACCTCTTCCATCAGTGCACATGGACCTGAAAATTGGCTGAGATCCAGAACCAGGCAAGGGATTGACTTATTGGGGTGACTGTCCTCAACCTCCTGCCCCTCCATTTTTGCCTTTTGTGGTTGTCGTCTCCCTACCTACTTTACCCACAGTGGCGATGTTCTGTTAACCTATTTTAGCCTCTATTTCCACAGCTACCTGAGTATCATGAGGAAACCAGTCCCACATCCCCACCTTGCTGTCCATTTCCCCAGGGTACTCTCAGCACCCCGTGTCAGTTCACAACTGCCAAACTGCTGACAGAACATGGGATTATACATCCCAGAGCTTCATTAGTGGAGGGGAGGAGGCCGGGATAGGCTTCAGATTGCCGTCAAGGTCTGACAAGGGTGGGAGGTGACGAAGGAGGTCTTGGCCAGGAAGCCCCGGACTGCAGTGTGGTTCTGGGAGTTTAAACAGGCTGAGGTCACCCTCCATCTTGCCAGAATGGGCTCTCCACCAGGGGGGACCATTCTGTGGAGAGCGTGGCCATGCCACCAACACTGCGGTGGATCCTGTGGCGGCCTGATGCTCAGAGCTTCTGCCTCCTGCCCTTATTTGTCCCCCATCCTCTCCTTGTTTTTGTCCCACATCCTGTTTCCAGGCTCTCCAGCTCCTGCATCTACTTGGGTTACAGCTCATTGGGACACACCGGCTGGCTTTTGATTTGGGTTCTTCCCAAATATCCCTCTTAGAGTTCTCCTTTCCTTTCCTCCTCTCCCTGCTTTCATGGATTATAGTCAAGCTAGTGAGAACCAGACACTGCACATTAGCTGAGCTCAGGGCTCAGATTTTTCTGGAAATAAAGATCTCATAGCCAAACTGAACTAAAAAAAATGAGTAACATATCCAAAGGTTTTCCTATCAGAAACCTATGTTAACTTACAGTCCCAGAGATAAGACTGCTGGACAGGAGCTATCACAGATCAGAACAAGTGATTTTCAGCAATTTGGAGGCTATCTGAAAAGGAATACCTGACATGCTGGGTGACCATGGAGAAGAGGACTCTGCCTGACCATAAAGGGGTCAGTAGTGTGCATCGAATGGCCACCGTTAATGGGAAATGAGACCACAGAACACACAGTCGTGCTTCTTTCCTGCCACACAGGAAGTTCCGCCTTTAATGAGTCCATTTCTGCTGGTGGAGAGACCCCCGTCCCGTCGTGATATAAGCATCATTTAGTCCTACCCACGTGCTCCTACTGTTCCTTCGAATCTGGTGTTTCTGCTCCAAGGGAAGAATTCCGAATGGTGGACCTGGTGAGTAAACCAGGAAGGCTTTTAACAAGCCCACCTCGTCCACCAGTGGTTCTGGGACCAAGAGTACGTGACCTTCACTCTGCCTTTCAACACGCATCTCTTCTGAACGAACAATCCTGAAAGGACCCAAGTTCAACATTTTAATCTTTTGTTTGTTTAACCTCTGTAGACTCTAACCTCCAATCTGACCACTCCCACAACTCCTGGTGGCTTCTCCATTTATCACTTAAACCTCACTTGGTCCAGAGGTGGATGTGCCTGACCACTATTCCAGAGGGAGCAGCGGCTGTCACAAGCAGTCTCACACATTTCACCTTCTTCCCAGACGTGGGAGACAACACCTGCTTGTTCAGGACGCCATTTACCAGCAGCCCCAGCAGAGTGTAGTCGTCACAGTCACTGACCCTGTTTGTAGAGTCACAGCCCAGTTCTACTTGTCCCTCTTCCAGCTGATTCCAGCCTCTCGGGTCAGAGCCAGTCAGCACCTGAACTCGGGACACGTGGGCAGGTACATCCAAAACCACAGTCAGATGGCTGCCAGGCTCAGCCGATTTGGTGTAAAAGAAATTTTCATCCAGGCTGTAGGCGTGCGAGGGAGCAGAGTCGTTGGCAACCTTCAGGCTGGTGTGGATGGAGGCAGCAGGGTTGCTGGGAGAGCCAGTGTCATCCTCCTCAAAGGAGGAGGAGTTGCCCACTTGCTGGAAGAGGGAGGGCAGGAACTTGATTGGTGTGTGCTGCAGCAGGGCCTGAAAATGGGAGAGGAGGCAGTCCCAGGGCATTTCTCGGTAGAAGAGGAGAAGGAAGTGAACGAAGCGGGGCAAGTCTCCAGTACGGAAGAGTTTCCCGGTGAGGCCCAGCGGGGAGAACTGCAGGGTCACCCAGGGTCTGTTTGCCCAGGCCGACACTGCAATAGCTATCTGGGTGACAAATCCGGGGGCACATTTCACATCATCCTCAACCATCAGGAAATAGTCAGAGTGCTGGGTAGCAAAGTTCATGAGGAAAGCATAGTCCATGTTTTGCCTGGAGTGGAAGGCTGCGTGGACAGGAGGGTCATTAAAGGTCACTTTAAGATCCTTCAAAGGAAGATAGCTTGTGAGAGGAGTAGTGATCACCACCAGCTCTCTGGCCTGTATGTGTGGTTTGAACATGGCTGAGAGGTTGTAGATCATCTGAACAAGCCATTTGGGGTCAGGACCTGCTAGGTGTACCAGAACGGTGAAGTGTTTCCGCTCGGATGAGGAGGAAGCAAAGAAGAGAGACTGCAGGGTGTCCACGAGGTGGCTCCCTTCAGGACGCTGCCCGGAGGAAATCCCTATGGTCAGCAGTTCTAGGGTTGGGGAGAAGAGAGGACCTTTGTCAGCTTACAGAAGTGAGAAACATAGTTGCTATGGGTGAGGTTATAATACTCGCAGGTCTTTCCATACACCAACTTAATGTCCTTCTGTGGTTATTGTACATTTTCTCCCCCAAGCCTAAGCATGGACAATGTTAGGAGTTAATAATCTGGTCACAAGTTGTCAGTTAAAAAAAAAATCATTACCTTTGAGGAACTATTGTTGGAGAAATAAAAGATGATAAACTAAAAACATTTGCATTTATGTCTCCTCAACCAGAGTCCCACTGAAAAACTAGAAAGCTTGCCATTAGAGAACTGTAATATTTGCAGAATTCCTAGAAGACAGAGAATATGGAACGGGGTGGTGAAAAAGTCTAGAAGAATTCATAGTTCATAAGACACACAGAGAAAACAAATGCAGAGATTTAGTTTCATACTGAAAGCCTCAGTGGAATTCTAAGTTCGAGCCACCAAACGACAGGTGTAAGCCCTGGGATGGTCACCTGGATTATCAGCCACAGGACTGTTTCCAGAACCACTGGACCACTGACCTCTAAGGGGCTGGCTGTGGCAACATCCATCGCAGGCGAAAGTGCTACGATTTTCTAAGTAAAGTGGAAGGTCTGCCCGGGGAGAGCCTATGGGTGAATCCTGGGCTGGCGGAAGCCCCAGGACTTGAGCAAGAACTCCAGGCAGCAGCAGGAGGAGAGGGCAGAGCTGACGTGGCTTTTACCTCTAGGATAAAGCCCTGGGTGTGGCTCCCTGAAGGTGACATTGAGACATGGAGAGGCATCTGTATAAACTCATGAATTTCATGTTTCAAACCATGGAAATTTGATCCTATTGAGGCTCAAATTGTCCTATCTTTGGCAAACAGCCTTTTGAAGTTGGATCCTGAGTCTTTTTGATATAACTTTAGTCATTTTTTAAGGCTTCCTTGCTATCTGAGAGGACATTTCCTGCCTTGGACCTGGAATCAGCCTGGTTATTTTTAGTGGAAAACAGTATTTATGTAACAAACACTCATTTATAGGCCACTGGATAGAGCCAAAATATATATTTCTAAAAAGATAAAATACCATCATGCATTCATACTACTTCATAGTGCATTTAATTAAAAAAGTACAGCATCATAGCCAGTGAGGTTTATAGAAAGTGGGATTACTGGTAACTGAATAATAAAAAGCATTTACTTTTAAAGAAAAAAGAAGTTTTTCTTTACTCAGCATTCTTGTGTTATTGTTTTTTTTAAATTTATTGATTTGAGAGAGAGGGAGGGAAGGAGAGAGAGAAGCATTGATTTGTTGTTCCACTCATCCATGCATTCATTGGTTATTTCTTGTATGTGCTCTGACCGAGGACTGAACCTGTAACCTCGAATATTGGGATGACACTCTAATGGGCCTGGGATACCCAGCCAGGGCAGAGTTCTTGTATAATTAAGGCCAACACTCTTCAGCCCCCTTGAACTTAACTATTTCATTAACATAATAGTTTAGTCTTGCCCTTTGAATTCTTAAACTGTTTGAGTCAGAAAAAGCTTATTCTGTGTTAAGGTTTATTTTTTTCTCATCAATGCAACTTATGAGGATCCAATGAGTGTCACAGTTGGACCTCCGGAGGGTCCCGTCCCAAAGGGATGCTTGCCGAGCAGGGGAACAACAAAGTCCAACAGAGCTGACAGGTTAGAGCCACAGAGTGTCTACACAGATCTTGGCAACAGCTGCCAGCATGGTTACCGGGGGGAAAAGGACACTGCAAGGGTCAGTATGGACCACAGACAGACTTAGCCGGAGCTGTATTTTTAGAGTAATCGGCCTATAGATGGCACTTAAAGCTGCGAGACTAGGTGAGGTCACCAAGGCAGTCCAGACAAGGACTGAGCTCTGGGCACACCAACATTTAGATGCTGGAGAGAAGATAAACCAGCAGAAGACACTGAGGGTCTATGAGTGAGGCTGGAGGAAAACTAGAGCTTGGGGTCCTGGAAGCAACTGGAGAGAGTGTTGACAGGAGAGCGCTCTACTGTGTCAGATGCTACAGGTCCCTGCTGCCCACATGCCTGTCCTGCCCCTTCACGGTCTGGACCCCTTGTGCACACTCACTTTTTTTCCTAGGAGGGGCTCCAATCAAGATATAGGAATTCACGTTTTTGAATGGTTCTGAGTTTTTCTGCATATCTTTGAAGGTTTGCAGGTGGCGTGTTCTACCAGGGTTAAGCTGCATCCGGGCTCTCTGCCAGGCCACCAGCTCCTTTTCCTCCTGAGAAGAGAGTAAGTTGCAGCTATGAGCCCTTCCTTTGAGAATAATGGCTGGGTGGGTTCTGCTTTGCATCACATAATAAAACATCTCCAGGACACAAGGCAGGTTGCTCAGGGCTCAGCTCAGTTTCTTCCTTATCTTCTGAAAAAGTTCTACCCGGGGATTCTTGTACAGGTTATGGGTCCTGGGGTGAAGGGAGTCCGGGGTTACATGCAGGGAATGAGATGGTATCAGTCCACGCCATTCTTCCCCCACAGTCATCTCTGTGACTAGTCTAATCCCATGAAGGGCAAAGCATGTGCTAGGCATGAGAGGAGACAGTGATGCCACTGCAATGCCCCGTCTACACTCTTCACCCTCCAAGTTCATTCTCTCCCCTTTCTTTTCTTTTTTGCCTTTTCTGGGTTCTGGTGAAATTTCTCATCCCCTTAGTTTTTCTTGGCTTAGAAAAATGACAACTTCTCTGAGGTTCAGGGTCCTATGGGATAAAATGGGGATAAAATGTGTAACTTTGAAATCATAAGAAAGAAGTGTGATTTCTTCCCAACCCTGAATTCTTTCTTCCAGAGTGCCACCTCCTTTATTGCCCCATCAAAGAAAAATATGTTTAGTCCTAGGCTTTATTATCCTTCTTCTCTGAGTGTCTATAATGTCAGTGACAGTTGCACACAAATGGACACTTAGATAGTGTCTCCTTTTTCTCAGCCCAGGGACTTCAACTTTGCCTGACTCACAGCTTCTGGTACTCACCAAGGACAGGAAACTTGTAGTGTCCAAAGGGTTTTCTTTAATGAAGAAGAAGATGGAGAGCAGTGCTGCTGCAGCAGAGACGAGAAGGCACAAGGCATCTCTCATGGTGCTGGGTGGGGAGGACCTACAGCAGCTTCCTCATCTGTGACCGGGGGTTATACTCAGATGTCTGCCTTTACACTGTCGAGAAAAGTTACCATTTGACAGTAATGCGTTTTTATTTTTATTGATTTCAGAGAGGAAGGGAGAAGGAGAGGGAGAGAGAGAAACATCAATGATGAGAATCATTGATTGGCTGCCTCCTGCATGCCTCCCACTGGGGACTGAGCCAGCAACCCTGGCAGGTGCCTTTGAGTGGAATCGAACCCAGGACCATTCAGTCCGCAGGCTGACGCTCTAGCCACTGAGCCAAACAGGCTATGGCTGACAGTAATGTGTTTTGTGAATCAAGAAATAATTGTATAAATAATACATAAATATCATTATTCTTTAAAAGACTATTTTTTAGAGAAGTTTTGGGTTCATAGCAAAATTGGAGGAAGGTATAGAGATTTCCCAAATACCCCCTACCCCCACACGCACAGCCTCCGTCATTATCAACACCACTCACCAAACTAGTGCGTTTGTTATAACTGATGAACCTATGTCCACACGTCACCATCACCCAAAGCTCATTGTTTACATTAGGGTTCACTTTCGGTGTGGTACATGCTAAGGGTTTGGACATGACATATATCCATCATTATAATACATACTAGAGGCCTGGTGCACAAAATTTGTGCACTTCGGCAGGGGTGGGGGGCCCTCAGCCCGGCCTGCACTCTCTCGCAGTCCAGGAGCCCTCAGGGGATGTCCTACTGAGGGGCCTAAGCTGTCAGTTGGAACTCCTTAGCACTACTGCGGAGGTGGGAGAGGCTCCTGCCACTACTGCTGCACTCACCACCCATGAAACCGGCTCAGGGCTTCTGGCTGAGTGATGCTCCCCTTATGGGACTGCACTGACCACCAGGGGGCAGCTCCTGCGTTGAGCGTCTGCCTTCTGGTGGTCAGTGCGCATCATAGCGACCAGTCGTTCCACTGTTTGGTCAATTTGCATATTAGCCTTTTATTATATAGGATATTTTCACTGCTCTAAATATCCTCTGAGCTCTGCCTAGTCATTCCTCCCACCCCAACCCCATGGAAACCACTCATCTTTTTTTTACTGTCTCCATAGTTTTGCCTTTTCCAGAATGTCATATAGTTGGAATCATACACTATGTAGCTATTTCATACTGGTTTCGTTCACTTAGTCATATACATTCAAGGTACCACCATGTCTTTTCAAGGCTTGATAGCGTATTTCTTTTTAGCACTGAGTAATGCTCCATTATGTGGATGCACCACAGTTTCATTTACCCATTCTGCTGACAGATATCTTGGTTTCCTTCAAGTTTGGGCAGTTATGAACAAAATTGCTATAAATATTTATGGGCAGTTCTTGAATGGACATGTTTTCAACTTTTTTAAAAATACAGAAGTAACTCTTTTAAAAAATGATTTTAGAGAGGGAGATAAAAACATTGATTTGTTCCACTTATTTATGCATTCCTTGGTTGATTATGTGCCCAGGTGGAGAGGGAGAAGTCGAGCCACAACCTTGGCGTATCGGGAGGACACTAACCAACTGAGCTCCCAGCCAGTTTTCAACTTCTTTTCTGTTGATGATTTTACTAAGGACCCTTGTGTGTGACGATTCCTCTCTCACTGCTTTTTAGATTCTCTCTTTGTTTTGAAAGTTTGATTATGTGGCCTGGTGTGGGTCTTTTTAAGTTCATTTTACTTGGAGTTTGTTGAAGATCTTGGAAATTTACATTCGTCAAATTCAGGAAGATTTCAGCCATTATGTCTTCAAATGCTCTCTCTGCCCCTCTCTTTTCCTCTGGGATTCCCATGATGCATGTGCTGGTCTCTCTCTGCTTGAGTTCGGGCATCCATTTTCTTCTGCGCTCAGACATCGGATCCCCTGGTTCTCAGGCCTTCAGATTTGGACTGGAAACCACACCAGCAGCTTTCCTGGGCCTCCAACTGATAGACAGCAAACCATGGGACTGCAGACTTGGTTTGCTCATCCTCATAATAAATCTCTCTTGCCCACAGATCGTATTGGTTTCCTCTGGAGAACCTAAGAGGCACGTATTAAGGATCTATGATTGGGACCGAGTCAGAGATCCAGGAGACCATCTCCCTTTCTGAGGCACCTTCGTTCCCCAGGGGCTTGTGAAGAGGCATCAAGGAAATGGTATGTGTCACCTCGACGGGAGCTGGCGTTCCATCTCAGGTTTCCTCTTTATGGTGCACAGGGACTCAACGCCACACTCCTGAGTGTCCAGGACTCCCCCAGAGTCCTGGAGAGGCAGGGATCGGGGCAGAATATGCATCCTCTGAGGCAAGACAAACTTGGTCACTGCTCTCCCAGGACACCCTCCCTGACAACCATTGTGTCCCGCCCGCCCACCTCACCCAGCACCGGTCCTCAGGAGGTGCCGGGAGGGGTGAGGACGTCCGTGTCAGCTCCCTGCTCCCCGGGTTCTGACCGAGATCCAAGGCTCTGGGCTGGAAGGGCGCCACATTTCTCACCCAATAAAAGTAGTTGTACTGCTATTTCCCCAAGTATAAATACGACACATGTTCCATGTCAAACACCGAGTCAATTACAAAATGAAAAGGTAAAGACCCAGATCCCAACGGTCAGAAAGACTCTTTGGTTAACATCTGGAGAGGCCACAGGACTGACCGATGGCAGCAATCTCCCTGCAAAGGGTGCAAACCGCGGAAACCCGCGGGGCCCCGACGTCGCAGCCCCGGCGCAGGCCCAGCCCTCGGCGCTGGTGGATGACGTCACCACGACGGGCGCTGATTGGCGTCCAAGGAGGACGTATGCGCCGCTGCGACGCAGAGCCCGGACTGCGTCATCGCGAGAGCGGTCCTGCGGCGCGGATGGCCACGGAGCCGGGCGGCGCTGTCCGGCGGCTCCCGGAGCCGGCTCTGGGGCCCAGGACATGGCCCGGGGTCCCGGCCCGCTAGGGCGGCCTCGCCCCGACCCGGCCGCCATGCCCAAGCGAGGGAAGCGACTCAAGTTCCGGGCCCACGACGCCTGCTCGGGTCGAGGTGAGCGAGGGGCCGGGCGGGGAAAGGCCGGGCTGGGGGCGGGGGAGGCGGCCGGGCCGGCGGGGGGACGCCGAGGGGAGCAGGCCGCCCCGCTGAGGGTCACGCTTGTTGCAGTGACCGTGGCGGATTATGCCAACTCGGACCCGGCCGTCGTGAGGTCCGGACGAGTCAAGAAAGCCGTGGCCAATGCTGTTCAGCAGGAAGGTAGGTGCCGCGGGCGCCTGTTCCTGGGGCTCCATCCGTGTTTTCCTTGCAGCCCTCGGGCGTCTTCGTGCGCGGTGGGCTCTCCGCGGGGTGGCTCCGTGGACTCCCGGGAGGGCGCCGGGAGCCGTGCCTCCGCTGGCGGTTTCTGTACAGGAATGCCCGTGTCCGCCCGCATTACGGACGCCTCTGTGCGCCTCCGTAGCTCCCACTGCCACCTCCTTGCTCAGTCCCTGCCCTGCAGCTCCCCGGTGCCCACGTGCTCTGCAGCGGGCTTCTAGTGTAGGAACCTTGCAGTGTATTCGTTTCCTTCTCCCACGTTCCTCTTACTTTCAAGCTTTGTACCTACATATCCTTGAGACGTGTTTTTTTTAAATATATATTTTTATTGATTTCAGAGAGGAAAGGGAGAGGGAGGGAGGGAGAGAGAGAGAGAAACATCCAGGATGAGAGAGAATCATGGACCGGCTGCCTCCTGCACGCCCCCCAGTGGAGATGGAGCCTGCAACCGGGGCGTGTGCCCTGAGCGGGAACCATGACCTCCTGGCTCATAGGTCCAAGCTCCACCACTGAGCCACGTGGGCCTGGTGAGACGTGTGTTTTTCTGACACCTACAGCCTCCAACCCAAGAACATGATTAAATTGGACGTAGTGCCGCTCAAAACGCTGGTCTCAGAATGTATGCAAATGAGAACAGCATTCGCCTGTAGTTTTAGCCGCTGCAGTTTATAGCGGGAGAATAATGCGCTCCCTTGGTCTTCCCCTCTGAGGTTGGCACTCTTCAGGAGCCAGTTTGCCCATTGCTTTCCCGTTTTTTAAAACATGTAAATGCTTAATTTTCTTTCTTGTTAGAGTCTCAGCTTTTTCAGCAGACTCTCATGCTGGTTTTTCCTTTTGTTTCCCCCCCCTCGTGAATGCCGATATCCTGCCTCAGCCGTCTGTATTTCTGGATGGGACTCTGCCTTCTCACTCTTCCCTTCTTTCCTTCTAGTAAAATCTCTCTGCGGCTTGGAAGCCTCTCAGGTTCCCGCGGTGGAAGCTCTCTCTGGGGCTGGGGAGCCCTGCGATGTCACTGACAGCAGTGACGAGATGGATGCGCAGGAGGAGAGCATCCATGAAAGACCCGTCTCCAGAAAAAAGAAAAGCAAGAGGCACAGAGGTACAGGGCTTGCTCTCCTTTGGCTCACTCGTCCTGTGTGTGGTGACAGCAAGTAGAGAATCCGAGTGTGGATCGCCGGAGTGGGACAGGGTTTAACAGGCCATGAAGCTTTTCTTTACTGATTCCATTTTGACATTTTGAAATTTCTTAATAATTATGTTTAAAATACAGTTCTTTAATCATTATTGAATTTTGACCCCAAATACAAATTTTTAATAGCACTCTGCTTCATAAAAGTTCTGATGGGTCTCAGTGGGGGAAATGCTGGTGCCCTCTCTTTCAGAGGGCCATGTAAGGTGGGGCCCCAACATGGGAGACCAAGCTTTAAGTGATTTCAAGAAAGGATAGGAGCCAAAAAAGAGGATGTTGCTTTAGAGGCCTTGGTCTCTGATATGAGGAACTCAACGCAAGAACCTGATTGAGTCAACGAACTGCTGGGAGCAATTACCTAGAAAAGCAGAGGCAGCAGTGGGGAGGTGGTGTAGGGGCCTTTTGCCCCGGAAAGAGGAGGAAGAAATCTGGTTTTTGGATAGTTCTATAATAGGTCTGAGCTAAAGGTTAAAGGTTAGCTTTAGGATTAGACCAGAATTGAATGATTTAATGTATGCAACATTACTTTGAAAACTTCAAAATAGCATATAAATAATTATTAAATAAAAGCCTTAAAAACAAGACCTCTTTACTGGGGCAACAGGAAGCAAAAGTTTCCAGCAGCTGGAATAAGCAGGAAATGATGAGTTTGAGAGGCTTCTTGGACCTTTTAAACCTTTTTCTTAGCTGTGCAAGACCTGGGAGAATCTAAGTGGGGATTTTTTTAAAAATATATATTTTATTGATTTTTTACAGAGAGGAAGGGAGAGAGATAGTCAGAAACATCGATGAGAGAGAAACATCGATCAGCTACCTCCTGCACACCTCCCACTGGGGATGTGCCCGCAACCAAGATACATGCCCTTGACCGGAATTGAACCTGGGACCCTTGAGTCTGCAGGCCGATGCTCTATCCCAGCCGTGGGCAAACTATGGCCCACGGGCCGGATCCGGCCTGTTTGAAATGAATAAAACTATTGAAAAAAAAGGCCGTACCCTTTTATGTAATGATGTTTGCTTTGAATTTATATTAGTTCACACAAACACTCCATCCATGCTTTTGTTCTGGCCCTCCGGTCCAGTTTAAGAACCCATTGTGGCCCTCGAGTCAAAAAGTTTCCCCACCCCTGCTCTATCCACTGAGCCAAACTGGTCATGGCTGATTGGGGATTTTTAGATATGTGTGTAATAGAAGTTCAGAGTTTACGGAAGATGATTTAACTATGGGTGGTGGGCACACAGTGCAATATACACGTCATGTATCCTAGAAATGTACCCTTAAAACCTAGAAGACCCTATGTTTCTTGTAAAAAGGAAAGGTCAGAGATGATAGTTCTTTTCTTCTGTTTCAGAAGCCCTGGATGGGGCTGGAGGTGAAGAGTACCCCATGGATATTTGGCTGTTGCTGGCCTCCTACATACGTCCTGAGGACATTGTGAATTTTTCCCTGATTTGTAAGAACGCCTGGACTGTCACTTGCACTGCCGCCTTTTGGACCAGGTTGTACCGAAGGTGCGGCCACAGGGAGCTCACTGTTGTCTGTGTAGCTGATTCCATGCTGTTTGTGATGTGAAACTGCTCCTGGGATGGTGACCTTTGCACTTTCTCTACTCCAGGCCTGGTGTGAGCCTGGCTTTGGGTTCCTTGAGACCCTCATTTAAAATTTATATGATTAATTCATCAAGGCAACTGTCTTCCCTGTGGTTGTCCCCTCCCTGGATCCCATATCCGTTTGCAGCAAAAGTGTTGCTTCACGTTTCAGAAGAATTGTCTTTGATTTTTCCTCAGGGGGTTGTCTTAGCTGGAATTTTCAAAAGCTTCAGATGCCCACCTGTTTGTCTTTCTAACTAGATTAGTTTCTTATATTTGTTGGTCGCCTTGAAGTACCATATAGTTTTGTTCTTATGCTGCCCTACATACATTTGTAGGGGTGAGGAGAGGGTGAACAGTGTGGCTAGTAAAAGGGTAGTTCTTGATACTGGGTGCAGAAGTGTAGTGAGGTTAGGAACTGTCAGTGAGAATGTGGTGGGAAGTAGAGAACTTGGTGTCCCTTCTGGACAGGGTCTGAAGTACCTGGTACTCCTAGCAAAGGTAAGACTTTCCCTTTCTTAGGGTGAAATACGGATAATTAGAAATTTTAAAAAGGTTGGAGAAGTATATGATTATAAGGTATGTGTGAATTGAGTTTCACATAGCAAAGAAGCAAAAGTAGCTGAGAAGTGATAGATGTGATGTGTGTGTATGAGAGCGAGGTCAGACTGAGACCAGGAGTCACAGGAGACTGACCTGGAGCAGGAGAGACAGGCCACACGTTGGTAGGAGTCATGTGTCGTGTTTCAGGCACTACACGCTGGACGCCTCTCTGCCTTTGCGCCTGCGCCCAGAGTCCATGGAGAAGCTGCGCTGCCTCCGGGCATGTGTGATCCGATCTCTGTACCATATGTATGAGCCCTTCGCTGCTCGAGTCTCCAAAAACCCAGCCATTCCAGAAAGCACGCCCAGCACATTAAAGAATTCCAAAGTAAGTGAGAATCAGCGGGGTTCTTGTGCGGCAGGCCTGTCGCCTGGCTTGTCTCCAGCGTCCTGGTGGGAGGCGAGGCCCCCGGGCCCCAGGCTGCTAGGGGGCGGACGTGAACTTCCAGGGCTCAGGGTTTTCACATCTCCAAGACGTCCCCGCTCGCCGGCCTGGCTTCCTGGGCTTTTATCACACTCGCTCTTCGCTTTATCTTATCTCATGCGTTATCTTCACGTTAGATGGCGTTGATGGTTTGGGTTAGGAAGAACACAGCTCACTGGTAGGTCTCAGCTGTAACTCTTAAGTGTTTTAGATCATGATGCAGAGGTAGAACACGAACAGCTTACTCGTTTTCTCTTTCTGTTGGGACAGTGACATCTGGATTTCCCTTCTTGTTGACCTCCGTTAGGGTCCTGGTGTAGGCCTGGCTCCCTTAGCGTCTGCTGGCATTCTGATTTGTACGTAGGTGTGTTAGCCTTGGTCCGTTCTCTTCCTTTTCTCCTTCATAATGAAATACCTAGTGAACACGCCTTTGTCCGGCAGAGCTTGTATGGCAGATATTATTATTCATGCCAGTTGATGGTTCCCCCCCTCCCAAACTAATATTGTCTAAATATTGTATCTTTTGATCCTGTAGGTAATTTTTATTCTCAGCCTACACAAAATCTGGTGTTCTATAGCACTTCCTACTCTTTTGTATCTTGTTTTTATGCTTTGGATGGTACAATGATTCTTCTCCCCTAGTGTAGCCCAAGTGTGATCATATTCTACCTTATACATATTGATTAAAAGGTGCTGCTGATTTCAAGGTTATTTATCAAGGTTCCTTCCAGGGTTGCAGATGGAGGTGGTCAGGGCCATGAGCTGAGCTCAGTTTAATATCACGCCAGCTGATGGATACAAGGCTGGGGTAGAATTTCACCCAGCAGCTGTTTCTGCTTGTAATGTGAGCGGACAGTGTATTGTGTCACGTTTACAGTCCCCCACACCCTTCCGAATAGTGATTGTGTCAGACTAACTATGATGAGGAGGGCATCGCCCCAGAGCTGACCAGGCAGGTGTAGGTCGGTTGCCTGGAAGCAGAGCAGTGTCAGGCAAACTCGTGCTGACACATCGTAGCGGCTCCAGTGCCCAGTCCTAAAGGACCTGTGTCTTCACACTCTTGTCACCACATAGTAACTCTTAAAAGTGGACTCTTAAAAGGCCAAGTGGAATGATAGCTAATGTTTCATCCAGATAATAAGCCCAGGCTACCTGGCTGCTGCTTCTGTGCCTTGTTAGAGATCTGAAGAGGACGTGGACCTGCAGTGGCAGCTGTCCCATGCATGGCCTTGCCACTTGTACAGCCACGGTCGCATGGCATTCAGGGAGTTGCCAGCACGCCTGAAGGAGCGGTCCCATGTTCCCGGACTCCAGCTTTTCGTATTTGATTCTCCCTCTCTCTCTTTTCAGTAGCATAGCTTGTGTGGGACACTGGAGCCGTTGTGATGGCAGCAGAAGTGTTTGCCCCTTAAAGCCAAGCCCATTATTTTTGATGGAACATCAGGACGTACAGGGCATGTCTGAAGGGCAGGACAGCTGGCACGGCGGACGACCCACCCCTTGTCCCCTGGGAGGTACTTGACTTCTTGTGCTTAAACTTAGCTGTAGCCTGCCTTCACCGAGGGGCGTGCTGAATTCAGCCCAGTTCTGTAGTGTCCACCTGGCTGTCGGCTCCCAAAGGGTCCTGAGTGGCTTGCTCCTGTTGATCACAGGGCTGGCCTTCTCTGCCTGCCTTTGATACCATCTTGCCTGGTGGCTGCCTATGTTTTAATATAGTGGAGTGGCCTGCTGAATCAGAGAGTGACCCAGTCCCTAGAGACCATGTTTCTGTCCTTAGAGATGAGGGTTGACCTCACAGCCTCTGAGGTTGACTGACATTGGTCCCTCTTCTCTGTGCTGAGTAGCCTGGGACTGTCTCTGCACGTTGCACAGTGTCAAATTGGGGGGCGGGTCTCTATCTGTGCCAGAGTGAAACCACAACATTTAGAGCTGGCAGACAGAAAGGTTTCTGCTGATTATTTTTTTGTTGCCTTATTTTTCTTTTTTTTCTTTTCTGTCTTTTATTTATTTTTGGTTTATTTTCTTTTCTTATAGTGCTTACTTTTCTGGTACCGAAAGATTGTTGGGAACAGACAGGAACCAATGTGGGAATTCAACTTTAAGTTTAAAAAACAGGTATGTAATTGTATCTCCTTTTTGTTTTTCAGATACCTTGTTCTAGTAAATTTAGGTAGGCATTAAGTTGACTTATTAAAATAAAATACACATCAAAACCTGTAATAATGCCATGAAGAGAAAAAGAAGAGGGAACTCCTATGTGAAAGACACACAGGGTGTAACAGCTTAATGCAGAGAGTGGGTCCTGGGCCCGGGAACACAGCATGCAGGATGCCTGGGAGTGGGGGCCAGTGTCCCCCTTTGTGCAGCATATGTTGTCTGCAGTTGACAGGTCACAGGGCATCTGCGGTCTTCCAGACATTGGAGGGCTTCTGACAGCTGTCCTTTTCCATTTCTTGCCGAGTGGCAGGAAATACCATCTAAATGCAGCATTGCCCCACTCCACATTGCCCACCCGAAGGTGCGCCCCTTTCAAACGGCAGGTGTTCTTGATCTTTATGAAGCCAATATGTACATAAAAAAAAGAGGAGAAAACAGAAACATACGTCTCATAGCATCAGTTGAGCCATGAAATTGTCATTGGTGGAGTCGTGTCCATAAACATGTCGTCTCAGCCATGAGATTAATTTTCCGTTCTCCTCAGTCCCCCAGATTAAAGAGCAAGTGCGTGGGAGGGTTGCAGCCTCCTGTTCAGTACCAGGATGTTCACACCAACCCCGACCATGACTGCTGCCTCCTGCAGGTCACCACCCTCAATTTCATCTTTATTCCAATTGTTATGGGGATGATATTCACCCTGGTAAGTGGAGACAGGATGTCGCCTCCGCTCTTTCACAGACTCTGACTACCTAGGTTTTAAAATAAATTTGTAAATTTAACCATTGAAGAAGAAATCTTTAATGAAGATTTAAAAGAGTCTGAAAGCAGAGTTGTATATTAGGAACAAATTTGTGTAGCAGTTATGCATGTTTGAGAGTATTTTATCTCTTCTCTGAAGTAAAGGGAATGTTTCTGCATCTCCTTTGTAGTGATCATTAATGTGAGAAACATTAGGGCAGTGGTTCTCAACCTTCCTAATGCCACGGCCCTTTAATATAGTTCCTCATGTTGTGGTGACCCCTAATTTACAAATTGAACATAATAAAAGCATAGTGATTAATCACAAAAACAATATGTAATTATATATGTGTTTTCCGATGGTCTTAGGCGACCCCTGTGAAAGGGTCGTTCGACCCCCAGGTTGAGAACCGCTGTACTAGGGACAAGGATGAGGCTGTACGTGAGCCCTAGATAGCTTTTTTTTTTTAAAATGGTAAAATAAATAATAAATAATTTAAAGAATTTAAATAATGCATATATACATTGATGGACTTCTGATAACCTACAACTGCAATTTACCTTTTAGGGATTGTTCTTTAATGTGTCTGTCAGTATGTGCATGGATACCCGGCCCCTCTTACGTAATTTTGTGTAATGTCATACAAGCTGCTCTTATTGTAGGCACCTCTCCCCTTCCTCTAGGTTAGGCCATGTTAATGACCTCGCTGTGTATCACTCATACGTTAGGTACTTGATACCCATATTGTTCTATGTGGACCTACACATGCATAAACATATTTAGAGATTTTGTGGTGTATTTTACCAAGAAAACAAAAAACGGGATCTGGGTATGTTTTATGAATCTTGATTTCACTTGCTCAACAATATCTGTTCAAAATTCCTTCAAGTCATCCAGCTCTAACCCAATATTTAAAAGTTGGCTTTGGTGGTAGTCTTTGTGCATATATCCTGATTTATTCAGCCATTTCTTAGTCTACTTTAAATATATCAAGCTAGGAAGAACTTATAAAATCACTCTTAATTTTTTTATATCTTTGCAGAGATTATCTTGTGGCCTTGCCAATGTAAATTTTGTCTAGACTCTCATTTCAGAGGGGCTGTAGGAGAACAAGGCTGTTCAATTTGGGTATGGGATGTAATGTCATTTGCTTTCCCCTCCCAGTTTACGATCAATGTGAGCACGGACATGCGGCATCATCGAGTGAGACTGGTGTTCCAAGATACTCCTGTGCACGGTGGTCGGAAACTGCGCAGTGAGCAGGGTGTGCAAGTCATCCTGGACCCAGTGCACAGCGTTCGCCTCTTTGACTGGTGGCACCCCCAGTACCCATTCTCCCTGAGAGCGTAGTCCCTGTGTCCTGTCCCGGGGAGGGGTGGCTGGATTGTTTCTCTGGTTAGTGAGGCACATGCTCTTCAGGTTCCTGGGGCTCCTGCTGGGGGAGGGAGAAGGGTTGAATCAAGAGGAAAAACAACCACGACTTCTAAACATATTTTAATGTAAGAGTTTCATCTGAAAGGAGAAACTGGGCCCTATTTTCTGTGTTAAACCTCACTTGGTGCTATTGAGTTTGTTCTTTATTCTTTTATCCCAATGAAAATGGATGATCTTGCTCTAGGAAAAAATTAGACCCTTGAATCAAACAAGGAAGTTTAAGCCTTCCCTATGGATCAGAGGAACCTTAGAGGCATAGAATTGCTGCTACTGTTGCTTCCAATTTAGCTGCCCCTCAAATTCAAGTGACTATTCTCCCTTTACCCTTCTCCAGAAATAAACCAGGTGACAGGGTTTTCAGAATCTTATAAGATTGGCTTGTGTATCTTTCTTTAAAAATAATTTTTGGATATTTATCACATAAATATTCTTTTGCCACTTTGGGATTTTAGGTATTTTTTTGCATGAGGCTGAGAATAGTAATAGTAACGACTGTGTCCCTAGGTCCTGTACTAGGAACTTTATATAATATCTCTAATTTCCACAGTCCTGCAAGGTAGGTACTGCCCTCATCCTGTGGTCGAGGAAACGGAATCAGTGACATAGGCAGGACTCCCAGCCCTCCCACAGTTAGAAGGTTATTCTTGGTTTTCTTGTGGTAGATGGTGGCAGAGGGAAGTAGGCAGAGTGCACATAGAAAAAGTCAAAGGTGAGTAAAAATTTGTAGTGTGCCTTATCCCTAATCAACCTGAAGGTGTATAAAATTGATGAAAGAATCTGTTAAATATGTGTTTCTAAGTAAAATGTAAAACAAACCAGGAAATTTATTATAGGAAAGATGGTGGTATTTTCATTGAATTGTTAGGCATTTATTATACTGAAGGTCATTAAAAATATATCCCCTGTCGAAACTGGGGTCCTGAATTACAAGCACTGTGACTCTCCTGCTCTGCCTTGGGCGGCCTGGCATCCTGTGTCGTTCTTGCAGAAGCACAGTTGCCAGAGGCTGTGCTGTAGCTGGTGTGCTCTGAGAAGGGCATCCTGGCTGGGATGTTTTTGTTTTGTTTTTGCTAACAAGATGATCTTGCTGCTTTCTGCCGCCTGATCCCCCGCCACATGAGCTGCAGATTGCCATGAGGTGGGTGTTAAGATGATACTCTTTAGACAGGAAAATGTTGTCACCATTCTGCTAAATTAGTGTGTTGTTTTTTCCTTCCCATCCTCCCTGCCCCTTGCTATTTAAGGAGCATCGGCTGACAGCTAACCTTAGCCCACACCGAGGGTGGAATTAAAGCTGTGCATACAAAAAGTGAGCTTGGGTCCACGAAACACAGAATTGGGGCATTTAAGTGATAAAAACAAACAAAGCCCAAGGACAGTAAGCACCTTGCCCATCTCTACTGTCAAACATTGCCCCAGAGGCAGGAGAAGAGAAGCACAGATCCCTAGTCCCAGAGCTAAAGATTCTGTGGAGCACAAGGGGGCTCTCCTGGTGGATTTCTGTCCCCCATTTAGGAGTTCCCTTTAAAAAGGGAAGTGAAATGCATTTAGCTGGCTGACCTGACAGCTTCTGAGGTTTTGTATCAAACTGTGGTATGATGATTGACAAAATAGATGTTGCTTCAGCATAGCGTTGACAAACTCGATTAACATGGCTTTAGCTTTCCCTCTTCACTGGCTGAGTTGCCTTTTCTAGGAGATTTGTGTTTATTAGTGAAAGGATGTGAAGTGTCTCAGGGATTGCCCTTTGATGAGACCCCCTAAACCACCTGGAGAAGGTTTGGGACTCTTTGGACTACTTGTGTAAAACCTGTTTTGTAATTTTCACTTCCTTAAATATATACCTTGATTTTGCTCTGACGGTCAGACAAACTACATTTAGCTTCATTTCTCACCCCCCAAATACATCACAATTATTCAGATTTTCCTACATTCTACAAAAGATACTTGGAAACTAAGCCAAATGGTGAATTTATTGGAGGAAAGAAAACAAAGGTTATATATGCAACTGACCTCAACTACAGCTGTGTTTTATTGAACATGTGCACATCTGTAAATATGTACACAGTGCAAGCACATAAAAATCCTTCACTCTTCTGCAGTGCACATGGCCTTGTGCAGGACTGAGCAGGCTCAGGGATAAACATGACAAACCAGATTGGAATGATGCATCGATAGCCACACGGGATGGGGGAAGGAGCAGTTCAGGAAAGTGGAGCGAATACTATCATTTGTCAATCAGGAATTTTGGCGTTGAGACTGTCTTCATGTTAACAATCACCAAGTGCCTGAATTGGTAAAAGTGACACAATTCTCTTGACTGCACACTGCGGAAATGTATCTGGACTTCAAGTTTCTCCACTAAAAAGTGGGTGTGACCAAAGGAAAAATAAAGGCACGAGCGAGCAGGTGTGAAAGGTGACAGACCAGACAACAAGGCCAGGGCCGGGCCCAGCTGGGGAGCAGGTGGTAGATTCGGGACCCGGGGGTTCAAAGGGAGGCGGCGATGACGTGCCGGATGATGCGCCGCCTGGTTTAGCTGAGACCCCGCAGCCTCCCGGCTGCTCTCAGGTCACGTGCTGGGGCGGGCTTGAGGGAGCCGCAGGCCCCGCCCCTAGGGTGGGGCTCCGCAGAGAGGCTGCAGTGGCCTCTGGTCACGTGGGGGGCGGGACGTGTCTGGGCGGGGGCGTGGTCTGGGCAGGGGCGGGGCTTGTGGCTGGGAGGCTGCAGCCGCTTCGACCAGCCAGGGGCCTCGCGATCCGGGGGCTCCTTGCCCAGCCGAGCTGCCTGGTCTTCGAGGACTGCAGGCAGGTGAGCGTCCAGAGCCCGGGTCGGGGGTAGATGTCTCCACCTTCAGCTTCCGCACAGTTTGGGGAGGGGTCTCCTGCGCCTTTAGCATCAGCCCGTTTTCAGGCGTCCCTCTGTCCCTCTGCCGCCACCCCTCACCGGCCTGTTCAGTGCTGTGCCCTTGGGGTGAGCATGGGGCGATGCCCAATTTGTCGGGTGGTGAAGTTCGTGCTCATCCATCGGCCTCGGAGGAGGGGCTAAGCTGGCAGGTCTGGAGAAAGCGGGGGGCTGCACCCCCATTCCTCCTCCCCTACCTCCACCCCAGGAGAGTCGGAGAAACGCCTCAGCTCCTGGGCCAGCTCTGCTCCAAAGATACCAGGGGGCACCCGCGGCGCTGAGGACTTCGCGCTTTCCTGGGGCGGGGGTCCTCAACCTTCCTGGCCTCTCACAGCGCCCTTCTCAATGTCGCCAGCTCTTTACCGTCCAACTGTCAGGTGCAAACTGAGCCTGAGATGCCCGTCTGCGCAGTGCCAGCCGGAGTCCCACTGAGGTGGGGGCGAGGGTGGCGCCACCGGAGGAGAGGCGGGAATGGAGAAGCTGAGCGGGCGGGCCAGGGTGCGGAGCTGACCACCGCGCAGTCTGTCTTCCAGGGCCGATCCTGCAGCTTCCGGTGGTGGGAACAGCTGTCCAGTCCGGTTGGAGGGCTTGGAAACCCGTGCGGGTGCTTTGAGCAGGATGGGGGTGTAGGACAAGGTGCCACTAGGTGCTGATGTCACCTTTGAGGAGAGGCGCCAGGCGGTGTCCATTAGGGGCAGGGGGTTGGGGTGGCTGCTCTGCTGCTTAGTGAGCAAGTGGTTACGGAGGAGACTCCCCGTGCGGCCCCTCCAATAGCCAGGCTTCTCCAGAGATGTTGGAACTGGCACTTAGTACTCTGTTCAGCAAACATTTATTGGACACCTACTGTATGCCAGATAGTGCTAGGGGCTAGGTCTTTTCAAGGCAATTTAGGGACATGGGGCAGTTGAAAGGTACACACAGTTACCCTCTAGGCACTCGTAGCAGCCCCCTCCCCATTTCGTTATATGGTTATTGGATTAGAAAAGGGCAGAGCCCACAGGGTGGAATTCCAGCCCATCCACCCGCTACCATCAGCAGCCGGGCACTCCCAGGGAAGCTGCCTGGGCAGGAGGAGCTGTTTGAATGATTTCCCTGGGCTATTTTCTAGGACTGTCCTGAGGTCTGAGGAGGCTGCCTGGGGTGAATGGTATCTCAGAATAATGAGATGATGAACATCCCAGTGGTTATTGCCCCCCTCCCCCCAGAGTGCTCTAGACACCTGGCCTAGCGGGGACTCCATCTCTGGAAGACAGCGGAGTGTGGGGGCAGGGGGTGTGGAAGGGAAGCTCCTCCAGCCAGTGCTGTCTGGGCATGTATGTGCTGCTGAGCGCGTCATGTTGTCAGACCCGGGTGTGTGACCTGGCAACTGGGTGTTAAGGAGGCATTGGAGGGGCAGGTCAGGGAGCCAGGCTCCTGGGTCTCTCGATTGCTAAACTCTTAGGGTTGGAAAGAGTTGTCAGGGGTTTCTGTGGTCTGTTCAGAGCCTCTGAGGATCATGGTGAGAGTTGGGGAGAGGACGGGCTGTAGTTGCAATGAGGCAGGGTGAAGGCTCAGCAGGGCCAGGGAGCTGGGGGCAAGAGGGCTTTAGGATGGGAGGGAGCTAGCTGTGGCCGCTCTATGCCAGGGATACTCTCCCCTGGGGCTTAGGCCCTTGGATGGGTTGCTATGGGAACATGGGGTGGTATGGAGCTGTGTGGAGTATGTGTGCTGGAGAGGAGGGGTTGGTATGGAGTAGGGATGACTGAAGGATGGAAAGCTGCCCCAGGTCCCAGGTAGAGAATTGGGAGAAATGGAGGGGAGGGAGTGGGCATTGCAGCCACAGGAAGTCACCATCTGTCCCCCCTTCGGCCTGCTGGCTCACTGACCTATAATTAGCTCTGGAAGGCATACGGTACTGGCTCACAGGAGCAAACGTGGGCCTCTTTGGCCATCAGAGCAAAAAGTACATGGAGGCCAACTCTGTAGGGGCTGCTTCTAGGCCCTATGATGCACTTCGGGGTCTCTGGGAACTGCAAATGCTGTGGGGGCAGGGCTGTGGGGCAGGAGCTCTGGGCTGGGGAGGGGTCGCTCCAAAGCCAGCAGAGCCTGAGGACTCGCCCAGCTACTGGCTCACCAGTGGCACAGTGGGCGCAGGCTGTAGGCTTGTGGGGAGGTGGGCATGCAGGACCTCAGAGAGCCCTTCCAAGCAGGAACCCGGAGTTCTAGGTAAGGGAGTTGGGGTGGGGTGAGTGCTGGAGGGTGGAGGCCCCAGCAACTACTACGGAGCAGGACTCTGCTTAAAGGAGAGATGCTGGGGTGGAGAGCCTTGCTGGTCCATGAGTAGTGGACATTTGGCGGGGCGGGGGGGGGGGGGGTTCATGGGGTGATCACCACCATTGCTAATGCATTTGGAGCCCTGGGCTTGGGGGACCCTGCAGTGAGGCTCTGATGGGTGCAGTAAGTAGAAGGGGGGCTGGGCCCAGTTACTAGACCTCAGCTCACACTAGGCCAGTCATGGAACCAAAATATTTGGCCCTTGTTTGGGCCAGAATATGTGCAACAGATGGAATTTTCACTCCCTTATTCTCATCCACGTCCTAACCCCCTCCCTCTCATAGTCACACAAATTCAAGGACTACACCTGGGAGCAGCTAGAGAGATGGGCTTCACAGATACAAGCCCAGTGGCCTCGTCAGTGACCAGGGTGGCTGCTGCTCAGAGACCTGCCCTCAGAGGGGAGGGGGAGCTGTCCCTAGGCTGCAGCACCCTGGCACCCTGGATGAGGGTCGGAAAGGCCTGAGAAAGGAATTGTGAGGACTGGGATGAGTTAAGAGATGCCAACCATCAGCACAGGCCTGGCACGTGGTAAAGGCTGAGTAAATCATAGTTGCTGTCACATTGTTCTTTTCCTGTGTCGCACCTCCCTCCCCATTTCCTGCCCTCAAATTGGGAGGATGACCTTCCTCTTAGCTCTTTGCTCTGAGGCTTCCTCTTGGCCCAACTCATGGGCTTTGGGATTTGAGCACCAACTGGCAGCTTGGCCCTGGCCCTGTGGCTTCCGTGGGGCAGCAGCCTGGCCCTGGCCCTGGCCACGTTCTCACAGTGCTGGGCCTGCCGTCTGGTGGGGCAGCGGGGAGCCAGAGCATCGGACCCAAGTACCCATTCCTCCTGTTTGCTGGGAAAGGATGGGGGTAAGCTTTGGGAAGCCCAAGGGACCTCAGAGTTTTCGTGTCCCGTGTTTATGAGCCCTGACCCCGCCCTGCTCACACCCACCCAGTCCTGCTCACCTGGAGCCCTCTTCCACTGTTTTACAGCCTGCCCGCACCCATCACTGGCAACCCCTCCATCCCCCAAAAATGTTTGCTTCGGGCGGTAGCTTTTGCCTCTGAATCAGGGCCTGTGCGTGTTACTGGATGGCAGGAGCTAAGGCTTTGTTCGGCTGAGGTGATAACTGCGCTATTTAAAGGTGTCCCTATCCCAGGGCTCCCTTTGGCCAACCCCCTCAGCAGGGCATCTGGCTCTACCTGATGGCATTTTTGCCAGGGCAAATGGAGCTGCTACCTGGCACCTGGCTTGGAGGGAGGCTTGGGGAGGGCTGGTGGCAGCGAAGCTAGCTTCTCAGTTGCCAGAATGACCAGGAGGATTTGGGGGGAGGCCAAGTTGGACCAAATAGCCAGCATGTCACAGTGGGCAGCCTGAGAACCTCCCAGGCCTTCCCTTTGAGGACCTGTGAAACCCTCCCGCAGGCCACCTTTGCCAAGCACTGGTGCTTCGTACTGGTCTGCGTCATGGGTGCTGTCTGCTGTTCCCAGCTGTTATCCATGAGCTCATCCCTCTGAGGGAGCAAAGCAAACCTTGTGGGGTCCGTCTGACAGCAGAGGCCTCGGTAGGTGGTGAGAAGCCCAGGGCCACCCAGGTGGTCTCCTTGGTGCCAGCTTCGGGTCACTGTACACTCCCTGCCGGCTGCCCTGGGTCAGCGTCCCTCCTCAGCATGCTTTCTCCCGCAGCCTCCCTCCTGCTCTCTCTTTTCTTGGGGTGGGCGTTGGGGAGGGGAGGGATGAGGGCCTGGCTATGCTGAGCTTGGGGAGGTGGGGCATTGTGACCTTTCAGCCTCACAGGTGGAGCACCCAGGGTGCAGGGTCCTGGGCACTGGTGCTGGCAGCATCAGTGAGATGGCAGCGGGGCTCTTGTTCTGGGCGCAGGGATGCGGGGTGGGCAGGTGCAGCCAGGGCACTCCTCTTTTGCCTCCATGGTGGCTGTCAGCTTGGGGACAGGATTCCCTGGGTCAGAGTGTGTCTGGGAGCGTGTGCGTGGCCACGTGTGTGTATGTCCTGGGTCTCTGCTCTGTGTCTACCTCTGTACTTGTGTGGGCAGTACCCACATGCCTGCTGGCACTCTAACTTCCTCTGGTCCAGGCCCGCATCCTTCCCCGGCTTCCCTCAGCGCCCGTTTCTGCCCAGAGCATCAGCACTTTGGGGGAGGGCATGGCAGGGGGGTTGGGGGGAAGAGGCTTGGCTCTTCTGTGCTTCTCCTGTGGATTCTGACCTCACACTGGGGCCCCATGTGTCTTGTCCTCTCCCATCTGCCACCTGAGGGGTGGACAAGAAGCTGTCCCTGTGTCTCCCAAGTGGAGAGGGAGAGGGAAGGAAGGAAAGACTGTTTGTGGAGCATTGCTCTGCCGGGTGCCTCATGTCTCTCATGTAACAGGAGCTCTGCAAAGTGACTCAGGTGGTGGCCTTCAGCAGCAGCAGGGCGGTTGGAAGCTGGCTGCAGGTAGAGAAGTCCCCAGCTGCCTGCTGCCTCCTTTGCTCTGATCACTGGGCATCCATGTGCCAGGCTCAAGGCATTGCTGGAGCCAGGCTGTGCACATGTTAACACAGCACCAGCAATGGCAGTTATATGGAGAGAGAAGATTCCAAGTCTTGAGCAGGGCCCCCACGTCTTAGCCCTGCCCCAGGAGAGTGACAGCCCCACCCCACATCCACCTGGGTTTCCTCGAATCGTCTGGCGCCGTGAAAGCAGAATGGACACCTGCTGCTGTGTGCCAGGTTTCAGGGGTGGGGTGATGAGCCAGAGCCTCCTCCCTGAATGTTGGGCCTCAGGGCCTCCCCAAGGAGCCTCTCCAGGGAGCCCAGCTGCACTGCGATCAGGGCAGGACCACCTGGTGTCCTTTAACCCCTTCTTAGAGCCCGTTAACCCCTTCTTGCCTGCCTTGGCCAGAGTGTGGGGCCAGAGACCCTGGTCCCTCCCCTTGCTCTCCCCCACCCCAGGTCTCAGGAGGGCTCTGGGCAGCCTGCCGCTGACTGAATCCTTTCTATATTTGGCCAGGGAGCCACGTGGGTGGGAACCACTCCACTGCGGCTGCACTTCTGACAGCTGGGGTGGGAGTAAGCTGAGAAGGGGCGCGCACTGACACCCCCCTTTCCTTTTCTTCACCCTTCCTGGTGCCTTCTCCTCTCCTCGGGTCCTCACAGCAGTCTCTTCTCCCACAGGCCACTGCCCTCCAGAACCATGGGTGTTGCTCAACCCAGCTGGGACTCTGCCAGGCTCCAGAACTCCGTCTAAGCAAAGGGCCTTCTTCCAGCCACCCTCTTCCTGTCTGCCATGGCCACGCTCAGCTGCTGCCTGCCTGCCTGGGAATACAGCCCACCCAGCCCCAGCCCTGAGGGGTTAGGCCAGGCCCCTGGGCTCCATTTCACAGGGTCACCTCAGGCACCTGGCCCCTTTCAGAACAAGAGCAACTGATGCCATGGGAGGAGCCCCGCCCACCTGTCTGCTCGCCTGGCACTGCCTGCTCTGAGGCCCCTGCTCTGGGTCCCCCTGGAGGTGCCAGCCCTGTGAATCCCTTCCCTGTCCCCCACGCTGAGAAGGCCCTGCCCACCCCACCATGTGTGAGGTGATGCCCACAATCAACGAGGGGGACCCTCTGGGGCCCCCACATGGTGCTGATGCGGATGCCAACTTTGAGCAGCTGATGGTGAACATGCTGGATGAGCGGGAGAAGCTGCTAGAGTCCCTTCGTGAGAGTCAGGAGACCTTGGCGGCCACGCAGGGCCGGCTCCAGGATGCCCTGCATGAACGGGACCAGCTGCAGCGCCACCTGAACTCCGCCCTCCCCCAGGTCAGACCTGACCCCTGCACGCCTCCCCGCCCCCAGCCCTGCTGAGCCCAGCGCCCTCAGGGCCCTCAGCAGGCCATCTCAGTTGCATGTCAGCAGATGGAACCCTCAGAGCCTCCACTGCCCCTCGCCTCCCGGCAGATCCCTTCCCTGTCCCTTCCGAGCTTCTGGAGAAGCGGGTGGGATTAGATGCAGGAAGAAAACCAGCCATAGTTGGCAGCTGCAGTGAGCTCATGTGGCCAGCAGGTGGCACCCCAGGCTGGCTGCTGCTCCCCAGACCCTGTTCTTGGAGGTGGCAGGTGGGGAGGCCTGGGAAGGTCTGAGGAGGATGTGATTTCCTCAGGTGGTGACAGAGGCTTGGGCTCCGGAGGCGGGTGAGGGGGGTAGGGGGCCCATGGAGCAGAGGTAGACAGCAGGTGACTCAGGCTGACCAGACCTTAGAGGGCTTGGGAAGGGTCCTTGAGACAGAAACTCGAAAACCCGGAAAGAAGTTTGTGTTAACGTTGTGCTTTGGGTCAGGTGGCCAAGGTTGGGGGCAGGTGGGAGGCATCCAGGCCTGGGGAACCAGGCAGCGATGAGCGGAGGAGGCGAGGGAGCACCAGTCCTTTGGGGTGGTGTCACGGTGCCCCGGGCGTGCCATCGAGTCCTGTGTCGGTACAGTGTGCGCGACAGTGTGGGGGCTGAGGAGTGAACCAGCGCCAGCGCCAGGCCTGCCAGGGCGTGAGATGCTTGGCCATCTGGCTGTGGCCTTGATAGAAAGGCAGCAATCTAGGGGCAGGGGCACAGGGCCCTGGCCTCTCAGGCTCCGCGGGAGTCCCATGCACTGAGGGGCTGTGGGCTTTTCAGGAATTTGCCACCTTAACCCGGGAGCTGAGCATGTGTCGGGAGCAGCTTCTAGAGCGGGAGGAAGAGATATCGGAGCTGAAAGCAGAGCGGAACAACACGAGGGTCAGTGGGGTGACCTGGCCTGTGTGTGTGGGGTGGACCCCTTGGCCAGCCTAGGCACATCTCTGCCTTATGTCTGGATGATAGATTATTCCACCATCAGTGCTGGGCTTTTCACCTGAGGTCCTGGGGGGAGGCCAGGGCAGCTGGCATGGGGTGGAATTTGGTTGGGACAGCAGTTGCTTATGAACACGGAAGTATTTCAACATGTTAACGGCACACATGGCTGTACTCGTGTGTACTGTGATCACGTGGGCCCTCCTATAACCCTTCCCCCCTTGCTCACGGCCCTCCTCTCGCCTCCCTGTTGCGCCAGCTGCTTCTGGAACACCTGGAGTGCCTGGTGTCCCGCCACGAGCGATCGCTGCGGATGACGGTGGTGAAGCGCCAGGCCCAGTCGCCCTCAGGGGTCTCCAGTGAGGTGGAGGTGCTGAAGGCCCTCAAGTCGCTGTTCGAGCACCACAAGGCCCTGGACGAGAAGGTACCCCCAGCACACCCTTCTCTGTGATTCCTGCACCCTCTTTCCCACCCCATCTGCCAGCTTCATAACAGGCTCCCTCCTCCGTTGCCCAGTGTCAGGGGTCCCCTTAGGTTCCCTCTGGAAGTTTGCTCTTGGCAGGGCCTCTCTGCCTCACACCACAGTGGTCAGCCAAGCCCAGGCTCCCCCAGCCTGCGCCCAGTAGGGTCTCTGTTTCTTCCTCCATCCCTCACCTCCTACCTGGGCAGGTGCGAGAGCGGCTCCGGGCGGCCCTGGAGCGAGTCGCCACCCTGGAGGAGCAGCTGGCAGGTGCCCACGAGCAGGTAAGCGCCTGCTCACCCTCTGTCTGTACCTGGGCTGGAAGCCAAGGCGGGTTCACCCTTTGCTCATCGGCTTCCTGTAGATGCTCACTGCTGTCTCGCTGTCTTGGCTGGAGACTGCTGGCCGAAGGGAGGCAGGGACCCAGAAGGGTCTGGAACATAGGAAAGCTTCTCTTGTCTCTGACTCACTCTGCTGGGACTGTGCCCTGCAGGTGTCTGCCCTGCAGCAGGGAGCAGGGCTTCGGGATGGAGTGGCGGAAGAGGAGGGGACTGTGGAGCTGGGCCTGAAACGCCTGTGGAAGGTGGGTTATGGGAGCTGCATAGCAGGGGCATGTCTTCCCACAGACAGGAGGCGGGGCCCTGACCTGTTCAGTGGAGCAGCTGCTCAAAGTATTTCAGGGCTTCTTCCAATATCCCCTTCTCTTTTCTCTTTCCACACCCCATCTGCAGAGAAATCTATAGTTGTGTTTCCGTGCCCACTGCTAGGCACATAGGTGCTTGTCCACCTGAACTGTCAGGGCCATCTACCTGTGTGTCAGCTTCCGTCAGGGAAGGTGCGGTCTCGGAGCCTGTTCTTCAGTCAGGCCCCTCTCTAGGTTATAAGACGCTGAAGTAGTAGGTCAAACTAGAAAGTATTGCTTTTCAAGAGACACACGGGAGAGCAAGAGTGTCAGGTCATCACCTGCCGTGAGCTCCTGGGCCCAGAGGAGGCCGGTGGACGGAGGTGTGCTCAGAAGCTGTGCAGAGCGTCCCTCCTCCAACCTGCCGGGGTGGCACAGGGGAGTGGGATGTCTTGGGCACCGGTGGTGGACTGACGGCTCGCTGTCCCTGGAGGATGACGAGGGCCGGCTGCAGGAGCTGCAGGAGTTGCTGGAGAAGCAGAACTTTGAGCTGAGCCAGGCCCGGGAGCGACTGGTTACTCTGACAGCAGCAGTGGCTGAACTGGAGGAGGACCTGGGCACCGCCCGCCGGGACCTGATCAAGTCAGAGGAGCTGAGCAGCAGGCATCAGCGGGACCTGCGGGAGGTGAGCAAGGCCTGGCCGGCCCCAGCGTGCTGGGTGCAGCGTTCAGCACTCAGGAGGGCAACTGCCTGGATGCCTTGGGAGTGAAGGGGCCAGGCGAGTGCTGGGAGTGTAAGACTGAGCACTTGGTGGGGTCCCGTTAGGGCAGGAGCTGCAGACGGAGGAGGTAAGGTAGACGCGGGCAGGGCAGTGTGGAGAGAGACAGCCCGCCAGGGACTGGTGGGAGGCGCAGACAGGGAGGTGCAGGGGGAGCCGATGACCTTGCCTGGGGCCCCTCCGCTCCTGCCCAGGCTCTGGCCCAGAAGGAAGACATGGAGGAGCGGATCACCACACTGGAGAAGCGCTACCTGGCTGCTCAGCGTGAGGCCACGTCCATCCATGACCTCAATGACAAGCTGGAGAACGAGCTGGCCAATAAGGAGTCCCTGCACCGCCAGGTAGCTGCTCCTGGTGGGGTGGGGGCGTGTGCTGGACCTGGGAGTCTCCCTCATGCAGGAACCTTACCTGGGTGGCCCAGCAGCCTCTTGGGTCCTGCAGGTCGCCTTGGGCAGCCAAGAACCAGGTCGTTCCTTGCCTCCTGGCCTGTCCTGGTGCTGTGCTGAGGCTGGGGGGCTGCAGCGCTCCCTCCTGACTGTCCCCCCTGCCACACTCTCCAGTGTGAGGAGAAGGCTCGACACCTGCAGGAGCTGCTGGAGGTGGCAGAGCAGAAGCTGCAGCAGACCCTGCGGAAGGCAGAGACGCTGCCGGAGGTGGAGGCCGAGCTGGCCCAGAGAATCGCAGCCCTCACCAAGGTGAGTGGCCGGACCCAGGGGTCCGCGGTGTCCCTGCCACTTCCCACTGGCGACTGCAGGCAGCCCACCCGGTGTCTGTCGGTTGGAGGAGCGGTGCTCGACCTCATTACCCCGTGGGCTGGGACAGCCCACAGCAGGCGTGAATGCGCTCCGAGAAGTAGAAGAGACGGTGCTCATGCAAATTCTTTCAATGATCATTTCCACCACGTGGTTAATACTTCCTTGGGTTTGTGTCTGGAGTGGAAAATTAGGACTTTCATCCCTGGAAAGATGAGGTCTGAGAGGAGATAGGATCCAAGTCTATAATTCCTGAAGGGGGTGGAGTTTAATCCATGCTTATCTACCTTTATTAAAGTGAAGCATCTGGATCTAGGGACCACGCTGGTTGCTTGAAGGCTGCAGCTTTAGGATGAAGAAAGGGAATATGATTTTAACGAGTGGATAGTTAACTTTATGGATAATAATTCATAAGAGGTGTGCAGCCTGAACACTGGGCTCTGGAAGAACTGGGGGAGGGCATGACGTAGACATGTATGGATTCATCAGGGATTTAGGAGGCTTTGTCGCCAGGCAGAGGCTAACCTCCCACCCGTGCAGAGAAGGAAGCCAGTATCGTAAGCATCAGGCCCCGGGCCTCTGCTCGTGTGGCAGCTTGGGGCCCTGTGGGTGGACCTGAAGCTGGGTGTACCTAGGTAGACCAGGGCCAAGTCTGCTTCTGGCACTGATGGCTTGTGACCAGGGAACAGTCCATCCCTCCCTGATTGGACACCAGTGTTCTTGTCTCTTATGTTGACACCATAGTCTCTTTGATGATGTCATCATATCCATGATGATGTCATGTATGTGATGACACCATTGGCTCTATGATGATGTCATCATCACGATGATTATTGGGTTTGGACTTAGTGGTTTCGAAGGACTCCCCAGCCCCTGGGAATCAAGGCTGGGTAGATAGTGCGAGGATGTGTGATGCTGAGCAGCAGCTCTAGTATGTCCCAGAACCGACAGAGGGACTCCTTTCTTCCCATGAGTCACGAGGAGGGTCGTCCTGACTGTAAGGTGAGGGGTGGTCTGGACTACCTCATCAGCAGAAACAAGGGGGTCTCCATCTCTGGAGATCATGAACAGAACGGGAGACACTGTCTGGGCTGGTTGATCACAAAGGTCATAACCATGGCTAGCGTTTATTGTCTCATTTAGTCATGCAGGTGGTAGGCGTCAGAGCTGTTGTTACCCACATTGTGCAGTTGAGGAAACTGAGGCACATAGAGGTTCAGCAGCTGGCCCAGGGTCACACAACTGGGAAGAGAGGGAGCCAGGATTTGAGTCCAGGCAGTCTGGCTTGAGTCCATGCACTTAAGTGCAGGCCAGTTTCTCTGGAGGCAGCTCATGCCTTCAGGTGGAGTTTTTCCCGAAGTGTGTGGAGAATTTCCAGTGTCTTGCGATGCAGCTCCAGGAAGTTTTAAGGCTGTTCTGCTCCAGGGTGGCAGGGGGAGGGCTGGGCTCCGTTGGCCCCTGAGGCCCCGATCTCCAGAGACCACCTGGCACCAGGATGCAGGAAACAGGTGACCTGAACGGGAGGGCGGACACCTGGGTGCGCTGACCTGTCCCTGCCCGCAGGCTGAGGAAAGGCATGGCAACATTGAGGAGCATCTGCGGCAGCTGGAGGGCCAGCTGGAGGAGAAGAACCAGGAGCTGGCGAGGGTGAGGCCCCTCTCTAACCACCCCCAGGGTGGGCTGTGGGTGGGGCAGGGAGGAAGCGGGCAGGGGGAGGCCCTGGCCAGGGACAGCCACAGAGAGGTGGGAGGAGGTGGAGAGGGGCTTCGGAGAATGAGAAGGGGACAGGTGAGCATGTGGCCCTGGGGTGCCTCTGTGCAGGTGCGCCAGCGGGAGAAGATGAACGAGGACCACAACAAGCGGCTGTCAGACACCGTGGACCGGCTGCTCAGCGAGTCCAACGAGCGCCTGCAGCTCCACCTCAAGGAGCGCATGGCTGCGCTGGAGGAGAAGGTGGGTGCCCCAGGTCGGAGGGGCGGGGCTGCGGGAGGGATGGGGTCTGCTGGAGAACAGGGCCTGCTAGAGGGGAGGGGCCGGAGGGGCCGGAGGGGCTGGGTCGGATGTGAGAGGGTCGTCAGGGTGGAGGCTGGCCTGGGCCTGGCACCTCTGCCTGCCCATGGTCAGGCTGGAGAAGGGAGGAGCTGCCGCCCTAGAGGGCAGACTCGTGGGCCGGGTCCCGGCAGGTGGGGAAGGAGCCCTTGGGTCCTGGCTCACAACTGCTCTCCCCCAGAACACGCTGATGCAGGAGCTGGAGAGCTCCCAGCGGCAGATCGAGGAGCAGCACCACCACAAGGTACCCGCTGCCGAGCCGGAGCCGGGGAGGGCGGGGGCTGTGCTGGGTGCAGCTGCTCTGGTGCCCGGCACAGAGTGAGCCCATTGGCCGGACGGTGCGGTGAGCTCACTGACCCTCCCTGGAGCCTGCCAGTAGGTGCATTACACCTGCGTGTAAAGAGCCTGAGGCCACAGCTTAGGGCATAGACCAGGGCCAGTGAAGGACCCGGCAGAACAGCTTGCTGAGGCCTCAGAGCAGGGGTTCCAGGAGGCTCGGCCACTGTTCCTGCCTGGGCAGTGTCTGTGAGGTCCGAGGGCACGGGCCTCTGCTGCCCAGCTCGAGGGTCGTGCCAGGTGTGGTGAGGGTTTCAGGCCCGCTCCTAAGCCCCTTCCTTCCCCAGGCAGACCCTGTCCTAACCCAGCCCTGCCAGCCTGCCGCCACCTTCTGTTTGCTCTTCACTTGGACCGAGTCTCTTTGGTGTGATCTGTGGGCCTGGTCTGGGCCCTGGCTTTGCACTTTGCAGTGCCCTCTGCTGCTTCTCCCCAACTCTGCCATCCTCTTTGTCCCTCTCTCCCCTCTCTGTCCCTCCCTGACCCCCACCCCACACCGGGTCTGCCTGGCACAGGGCCGCCTGTCCGAAGAGATTGAGAAGCTGCGCCAAGAGGTGGACCAGCTGAAGGGTCGAGGGGGGCCGTTGGTGGATGGCATCCACTCCAGGTACTGGAGCACGGGAGGCTGGGTGGGGTCCTGGTGGACCCCGAGGAGGAGACTTCCTCCCACCAAAAGACCGCCTAGGACCTCAGAGGGACATTGAGGCCTGGAGAGCTTGGTCAAAGCCACCCAGTCATTGTCAGCTGAGCAGGGAGCCCTGACCTCGGAGGGGTGCTCAGGCCACACACAGGGAGCCCTCCCCAGGCCGTGGACACAGGCCATCCTTCCTGCTTCCTGGACAGGGCCTGCCCTGCAGAGGGTCCGCTGAGTTACATGCTCGCCTACGGCGCACGGCCCACGGCCCACGGCCCACGGCCCACGGCCCGCCCATGGAGGGTGTCTGGTTCCCTCTAGTTCTCTGGAGACACCATCTTCGGGGTGTGCAGGATTGCTGTTTGAGCTGAGGGCCGCCTAGGGCAGGTGGCAGGCAGCAGGCACAAAAGCAGCAGGAAAGATTGAAGTGAGGCATCAGGAACTCCCTTACTGTTCGTCACATGGTTGTGCATCTTTCCCAAGAACATTTAAGAAATGGGGGGTGGGGCTCTGTGCTGGAATTAGGCCCATGCTGCAGGGAACTTCTGGGTTTACCTCCATATTTTGTGAAGCAGGCGACGTAGCCCTGCCTCCCTTTCTGCCAGAGGCAGGTGAGGAACAGACTGAATGAGTGAATCCATCAAGGTTCGCAGGCCTGGCCGTGTCCTCCCCAACAATGTCCTTTAGATCAGAACCCTCGAGGCAATAGTGATCTGTGGGCAATGGGACAGTTCTCTGCAGAGAGGTGAAAGGAAGCGTGTGGTGTGTGTGGGTGGGGCAGGGGTTAGGGAAAGGGGTGCTGAGCCTGTGGTGTCGGTGGTAAGACCTAGCTGCATCTTCAGTGGCCAGCAGGCGTTCCTGTGTGGTGTGCGGTGGGGCAGGGAGGGGACAGAGCCAGTGGTCGGCACTCCGGCTCTCCCTTCCTGCAGGCTGCTCAGGAGAGACCAGCCCTGAATTTGTAAGACGTGGCCCAGAGGACACCAGGCCGCTTGCCATGCTTGCTGTCCTCAGTGGTCGGGAATCCTTGGCTCTGACTGTAGACATTCTGGGCTCATCACAGAACAGGCTGCGTGTAGGGGAGCAGAGACCCTCTTCTCAGACCGGGACTCTGTGGGCCTGTGGGGTGCACTGGTCTCAGCCCATCCTCTCCCTGCCCCATGCAAGGTCGCACACGGGCAGCGCAGTGGACCTGCGGTTCTCCTTGAGCACGGCAGCCCCGGGCCTGCGTCGCCGCTTCTCGCTGCGGGAAGAGTCTGCCAAGGTGAGGGGTGGAGGGTGAGGGGGGCATCTCCCGGGAGTGGGGTCACTTCGGCCGGCCTCGTGCCTGGCTCCAGTTTCACAGCTGGCTGGCGTGTGGTACAAATCCTCCCCTGCCCCCCACCCCGTGCCAGTGACAGCTGCAGCCCTGGATGGGGCCTCGGCAGCTGCAACAGCTGCGCTCCCCCAGCCTCCTGGTCCCTGGGGCCCACCGAAGCGTGCGCACGTGTGCCTGGGTGTGCAGGCGTGTGGTCGGGCGGGGACGGGGGCGGGATGGAATTGGCACGCTTTCTGGAACAAGGCTGTGGTCTGTGGGGAGATGGCGGGACGGCGGGGTAGCTAGCCGGCCCTGGGACGGCACCTGGAGCTCCCTGAGGTGCCGCTGTGAGATCTCACTGAGCCTTCGGAGGAGCAGGAAGCGCAGGCGTCTGGTCACCGCCTGGCCCGGGGTGGTTGGCCTCTGTCCTGAGCCCAGGCCCCCGACAGGGAGAGGAGGAAGGAGCTCCTCGTCTGAGGGGTGGGGAGTCAGTGTGAAGGCCCCTCTTTCTCTCCCCTCACCCTCTTGCTGTTCAGCTGCTGCCCAGGCCCCGCTCCTCTTCGCCCCTGCTCTCTGGCCGCCCCAGCTCGGCTCTGTGCCTCTCGAGGGCCTCTGTCCACCAGAGAGGTTCACAGGATGATTTCGGAGAAGCTTCCTCTTCTCGGGGTGACCAGAGGGTCCTGCTGTGCAAACCGGGGCCTGAGACACCCTGGGGCTCGTCGCCCTTTGTTTGTGTTACTCGTGCTTACTTTGTGCCAGACACTGCTGAGCACTGTAGTCCTCACAACTGCCTATGGCACGGGTCCTGTGAATACCCCTTTTACAGATGAGCAAACTGAGGCACAGGGTGGTGAGACGACTTCTCGGCGGCTGCACAGCCAGTGTTGGCTGGAGCACCTCTGCCCCTGGAATCCCCCGCCAAGCACGTTGCCGTCGGGGTCCTTGATAGTCCAGTCGTATTTCTTAGACTTTATGTGCAAATAGATCAGCCAGGGCTCTTGTTAAAATACAGGTTCTGCACCCCCAGATCTGGGCTGAACAAATGCCCCTCCTCTTCCCTCCTTTGCTCAGGACTGGGAGCGGTCTCCACTGCCTGGTGTGCTGGCCCCCACGGCCGCCCCTGCCTTCGACAGTGACCCTGAGATCTCTGACGTGGATGAGGATGGGCCAGGGGGTCTGGTGGGCTCCGTGGATGTTGTCTCCCCGGGCAGCCACTCCGATGCGCAGACCCTGGCCATGATGCTGCAGGAGCAGCTGGATGCCATCAACGAGGAGATCAGGTCAGGGCCGCCGCAGGAGGAAGTGCGCAGTTCGCTTGTCTCTCATAGGTGCTCCCGAGAGCGCCACTGTCCAGGGGCCCGGAGGCTGTGCCCAGCACTGACCTCAGACCAACCTGCGGGCTGGCTGTGCCCCGGCGGCGTCTGCAGCGGACACCAAGGGTGCAGCTCCCACCCACCAAGGCTGTTGCAGTCTCACCACCATTTCTGGGGGAGACGGCATCATCTCCACTTGACAGACAAGGGACAGAAACCAGCGACCAACGGATTTGCCTAAAGCAGCACAGGGAGTGTCAGAGCCAAGATTCAGACGGGTCTCACCCCCCCACAACGAGGCCTCAGACAGGAAGTTACCGGGTGGGCACTTTGCCCGCCGTCGAGAGGGTTTGTTAATGTTATGACCAATGACAAGGACGAGCCGAGCCGGACAGCACCAGCTCGTCAGGGCCGCAGAGGGCTCTGGGCCAGGGGCGCCCTCACTGGGACGTCACAGGCCAGTTAACATGGTACACACACACACACACACACACACACACGCACACACGCACACAGGTGCTGCCAGGACCGCCAGCGTCTAGTCTACCGACTGAAACATTGAAGGGATCTGCCGTTCCTGTCAGCCATTCTACAGCCATCAGACCTTTAGCACCCTAACGCTGGGAAGACATACTCCCCACAGAAAAGCAGTCCTCTTCCTCAGCTGGCACCTTCACATCAGTACGTGTGTGACTGCGTACACAGCGTGTGTGACAGCGTCTCTCTGAGCCCCGCCCCCCTCATTATTCTCATTTTCCTGTGAATGGGTCAGCACAGTGAAAGGTCCAGCGTTTGGGGACGTAGCCCACTCCTCACATTGGGAAACTGAGGCCAGAGAGCCAAGTGCCTGACTCGAGGTCCCCCTGTAGCTGGTGTTAGGTTGAGGATTCTGACGTCCAGATGGTTTGTATTCCTCTGACTAAATTCCTCCGTTCCCAGCAACTGCTTTTGTTAAACGGGAGTTTTGTTACATAGTTCAGCTCACAAGAGAGAGAAGGATCTTTCTAAGCTGCAGTGGGAAGTGCTGGGCAAGGCCAGAAGCACCTGCCTCCTGGTGGCCACTGGGGCTGCTGCCCAGGCCGATGCCCAGGCCGATGCCCAGGCTGATGCTGGTCTGTGCCTCCAGGATGATCCAGGAGGAGAAAGAGTCCACGGAGCTCCGCGCGGAGGAGATTGAGACGCGAGTGGCGAGCGGCAGCACGGAGGCCCTCAATCTGACCCAGCCGCCCCGGCGCGGCCCCCTCCCCACCTCTCTGACTGCCCTGTCCTTGGCCAGTGGGTCCCCTGCATTCAGTGGCCGCTCCACAGCTAAGTGTGCCTCCCGCAGTGCCATTCAGGACCTGGACCGAATGGGGGTCATGACCCTGGTGAGTCTTGGGACAGTAGAGGAGCAGCCCTGTCCTCGCTGGGCTCCACCTCCTCCCGTGATGTGCACACACCCCACACGTCCCGCCACGAGCACGTCCTGTTCTGGACACACCTCTCCCTGGAGGAGCAGGGCTCAGGAAGCCGACCGCTGCCCACCTGTCTCCCCCAGAGGCCCTGGCTTATTGTTTTGGGCCAGCTGTTCTCTGCTGCGATGTCTCTGCAGACCTGGGCGAGGTCCCGACTCCTACCTTCCCCTTCTGAGACCTGGGCTCCCCTTGGGGTGGACTTGCAGCACCCAGAGGGTGAGTGAGCTCACGCTTCCCTCTCTTCCAGCCCAGTGACTTGCGGAAGCACCGGAGGAAGCTGCAGGTGAGCGGGCCTGAGCAGGTCCTTGGTCGGTTCTCCGGCTTCTCCCCCGGCCCCAGGCCGCCCCGCTGCGCTCTTCCTGCGGCCAGATCTCTCCCTCTATCCCCTGATGGCCCCACTGTCTGTTCAGCCACCAGTGTCTCGGGAACAGAACCGAGAGGACAAAGCCACCATACAATGTGAGACCTCTCCTCCTTCCTCACCCAGGACGCTGCGGCTCGAGAAGCGCGGCCACCCAGCCCCCAGCCAGGAGGAAGGCCAGAGGTAAGGGAGCCCTCCCAGCTCTCCGCCCCCACGGCCATCACCTCGTCCAGCGATCTTGACATCTCACTTCTCTGAATCACCATCAGGGAAGGACAGTCCCCCCGTCTCCCTTGTCACCTGCTCTGATGGCTCCCCTCACCCCACCCAACTCTGACACTGCCTGTAAGTTCTTCCCGAGGTCTGACCCCCACCCTCCTGCTGTACTTCTCCCCTCTGTGCCACCCTCAGTGCCATGGAGGACCAGGGCAGCAACCCCAGCAGCAGCAACAGCAGCCAGGACTCCTTGCACAAGGGCGCCAAGCGCAAAGGCATCAAGTCGTCCATCGGCCGCCTGTTCGGGAAAAAGGAGAAGGGCAGGCTGACGCAGCTGAGCCACGATGGAGCTGCGGGCCACGGTCTCTGCCCCCTTCCCAGCAATCGAGTCCAAGTTCAAGTAGAGGGCCAGAGGCAGGAGGGTGCTGGGTGTGGGCTTGGCTGCTGCTGCTGTCTGCAGGGACCCCAGCCCGACGGGGTTTCCGTTAGCCTGTTGTTCCCCAGCGGGCGGCTGCCCGTCCCCCGGGGGCTCCAACCAGGGTCAGGCCCGCCGTGGCTGAAGAGGTTCCTGTGCGGAGTGAAGGCTGGGCCTGCGAGGGGTCGTCCAGCCGAGGGCTCTCATCTCAGTGCTCAGGGCCTTCAGGGGAGTCAGTGTGGTTAGCACTTCCTTCTGGCCCGTCTGGCCTCCAGGACCCACATTCCATAGGCCTGTTCGAGTAGGAGCCTGTCAGCGGGCCCTGCGCCACCCGTGTGATGATAGGAAGCCCTAGTGCACGCCTGGCAGGTGGTAGGCACACAGCCGTGTCAGCTCTCTTCCTTCCCTCCTCACTTCCCGCATCTCCTCAGTCCTTTGCTTGGCAGACACTTGTTGAGTAACTCTGGACACAGGCTCAGTGTTAAGTCCATTCCTGCAAATAGCTCTGATGAAAAGGTAACAATGAAGAGACAATTCAACGACAGTGTAATGACCATGAGATGCCCGAGGCGCTCCAGGAGCTCGGGCCTCGGCCTTGGTGCAGTGGGGGCCACGGAGCGGCTTGCTCTGCTGTCAATATCTGGGCTGAATCCAGAGGCAAAGTAGGAGGGGAAGGGCGTCTGAGGAAGGCAAAGACGTGGGTGTGAGTCCTGTATGCAGCTGAGTCTGTTCAGAGTGGGTAGGAGGGTGGGGGAGGCGGGGGCTTGGACCCTGGGCTGGGGTTAGCTCATGAGGGCCTTGCACAATCAGCCGAAGAGGTTTAGAAGCCCCCAAGGCAGCGAGCGTATTAACCAGTTTCATGAAGGGAAACCTGCATGATCAATGAGAAAAGGAACCTTTGAGCCCAATGCATAATTGCATAATTATACCTTCCTGCACCCGGGAAGGTGTGAGTCAGAACCCAGTGAGCGAGGAGGACTGGGAGGGGAGAGCCCTCTCTTCTGTGTGGGAGCCTCTGCCCCAGCACAGGGGAGCTGAACGCCACAGACCAGGTTGCTGCGTCTGATCAGGGCAGGAGGCTTCTGTGTGAAGCCCATTTCGTGTGCTCCTCCTGCCTGCTGGCACCTGAGCCTAGGGCAGCGCCTCCGACTTCTGGACCAGCCACACCAGCTGCCCTCTGTGCCCGCACAGGTGCTGCCCTGCATGCGCTCGGGGACGGCCTCCGCTCAGGAGGCCGTGGGTGGAGCGGACAGACTGGTACTTGTTCTCTCGGTGGTTTTGGCGGAGGAGGGCACCCTGAGAGGCGGTCTCCCCGTCCGACCTGGGCCAGGGTTCTCTCAGCCTCTGGCCCATCGTGTCTGGTTCTCCGGGTCCCCTTTGCAGCTTGGTTTGGAGGAGGGACAAGTTCTGGTGAGGATTCTGCAGCTGTTAGTGCTGCACAGTGTGGCTCCATCCCGTTGGAAAATACCCGCAGGGCCAACGCTCAGGGGGCACCGTCGGGGCTGGGGCGGCCTGGGTGCCGGACGCTGAGCGGAGGCTCCGGGAACGGTGGGTGGTCCCGTCAGGCCCTGGGTTTCATGCACTGAGGAGCTTCCTGCTGGTCTGCTCCCCAGCCCTGGACCCGCCAGGGGGACCAGCAGAGGGTCTGGCTGACCTGCCATTGCTTCCCTTCTAGTTCTGACAGACTCCGAGCTCGGGCTGCAGGAGCCCCTGGTGCCTGCCAAGCTGGGGACCCAGGCAGAGAGGGACCGGCGGCTGAAGAAGAAGTAAGAGCAGCATCCAGGCTGGCTGCCACCCCCTGCCCGTCCCCTGGCTGCCACCTCTGCCCATCCCGTGGGCTGCATGGGACTGAGCTCAGGTGGTCAGAGCCCAGGAGGCCCTTTCTGAACTGAGCTGGCCTGGTTCGTGGGGTCACGCAGAGGCTGGGCGCTGGCTGTTAGGGTGGCTCTGGCAGAGCAGACCGACATGGTCGTGGTCGGGCTGCATGCACAGTGAGAGCTCTTGCCCTTAGGTTGGAGGGCATCCCTGCCCCGTGTCTTGGAGTCACACTGCTTCAGGCGCAGAGCAGGGTGGCAGTCGGGTGAAGGGGGGATGAGCAGGGGAGCCCAGCACAGGGCACAGCCATGTCCCTGGAGCCATCCCGGGCGGCACAGGAAGGACTGCTGTGTCTGCTTCTCTCCCTGCAAGGCACCAGCTGCTTGAAGACGCCCGCCGAAAGGGACTGCCCTTTGCCCAGTGGGACGGCCCTACCGTGGTCTCCTGGCTAGAGGTACCTAGGCAGAGGGTCTACTCAGGGCCTGGGTCGGGGGACTCCTGGGCAGAACTTTCTCAGCATGCTTCTCCCCTGCCAAGTACACATGGGACCTAGACTTGCCCCGCCCCCATGCCCATCAGCACACAGCGGTTACCTTGATGGCTAAGGGCCGCAGGCCCCGCTGAGCCATAGGGCCCACGGGCGTTGACTGTGGCCGCCCCCGGGAGCTGGTCCCCGGGCAGAGCTGGGAGCCCTCCTCCCCCAGGCCCAGAGTTTCCGCTGTGAAGGGAGACGCGTTGATGATGGTCCCCTCCAGGTCCGCTCTTCTGAGACCGTGGCTGGGCCTGGCCTTGCCCTGGGGGTTGCCCGGCTCTTGGAGAGGCGGCTGAGTGACCCCGTGCCTGTGTCTGCAGCTCTGGGTGGGGATGCCAGCCTGGTACGTGGCAGCCTGCCGTGCCAACGTCAAGAGTGGGGCCATCATGTCGGCCCTGTCGGACACGGAGATCCAGCGGGAGATCGGCATCAGCAACGCCCTGCACCGGCTGAAGCTGCGGCTGGCCATCCAGGAGATGGTGTCTCTGACCAGCCCCTCCGCCCCGCCCACCTCCAGGACTGTGAGTGGCCTCTCCCTCCCCAAGACCCTTCCTGAGGCCCTGGAATGGCTCTGCCCAGCCTCCCATGGGTCTTTGGAGAGATGGTAGCCGTGTCTGCCCCTCACTTCCCATCCCCACACAGGGGTCCAGCTGGTCTGCAGGGGGTGATGTTGATTCTGGGGTCCCAGCAGGCCTAGCTTCTGCCTCCCACATACCACCAGGGGCTCCGTCTCCCCCCTGACTCGGCCCGTAGTCCCGGATCTCCAGGCAGCTGGGACTCCGGGTGTCTGTGTGGCCAGATGGCGGTGGCTGAGGGAGTGGGGTCTGTGAACTCTGTCCCAGGCCTCCAGCCTCTCCGTGGGCCTTCCCTGTGGCTGGGGGCAGCTCTTGTCCACGCTGCAGCATTCATGCTCGCTCACTGAGGAGGCGCTGGGGACACTGTGGGTGGACTCAGGGAGGGAGCTTTGTCCTTGTCCTTGGGGGACCCCTGGGACCCACTGCGGGACCAGCTAGGTTTCCTCTCTCTACAGTCCTCCGGGAATGTCTGGGTCACCCATGAAGAGATGGAAACTCTGGCAACATCCACTAAAACAGTGAGTCGGCCTGGGCCTGGGGTTAGGGCTGATGGCCCAGGGTGGGCGGGGAAGGTTGTGGGAAGTCGGTTGAGTGTGAGATTAGCCCTGACGTGTGACTGAGCTTGTTCTCAGGTGGAGGTTGGTGGTAAGGAGAGAGAGAGCGCGGTTGGGTGGCGGTGGGGGCGGAGTCCATTCCACGGTCACAGCTGGCACCAGGTGGGCGGGGGGGGGGGGGGTGAAGAGAGCTTTGCGCTGCTGTGGGCCTGGACCCGGGGTCCTGCCTGGCGCTGAGGCCTGTGCAAGGATAGGAGGGCCTTGCTGCCCTCTTACCGAAAGCATGGCACCCACACCTGCCTCCTCTCCCAACCTCGCCAACACTGTCCTTGCTCACCCACCAGCCCTGGGTGTGGGCTCCCTCTCGATGGAGCCTGGGGTGCGTGCTGCCAGGCTCTTGACTTGGCCATTTCCCCTCACGCTGCACGTTCCTGCTAGGACAGCGAGGAGGGCAGCTGGGCTCAGGTAAGACCCCCTGCCGGACGCGGGGTCCAGGGCACCTGCGAGGACCCTCCCTCCTCGTTCCCCTTTAGCTACTGTCCTGGCTTCTCATGTTGGCAGGAGAGGAGCCCGCGGGCTGTGCTGCCTGGTGCCTCTATCCCCCCCCCACTCACTACCCCCGCAGTGGGCTCCCTTCAGGAATGATAAGGTATAGGTTGGAAGCATCCTGTTCCTCCCTCCGCCCTCTCGGGGGCCTGTGAGCTGAGCAGAGGCCTCCCGTTCATTCACTTAGTGAGAAATATTCCAGGCTCTGGACACAGGCGTGAACAAGTTGCCCTCTCAGGCTCGTATTCTAGGGAGACAGGCAGTGAACGCAGCCACACCTCTGGATAGCGAGCCAGGCAAGTGAGGACCACGGTGGGGCTGCAAGCACGCCCGTCGCACAGGGAAGCCAGTCAGTGCAGATGTCAGCCTGTCCGCAGCAGCGGGGCGCTGAGCCCAGGAATGCAAGCAGAGCTGGTGTGTTGGTTAAGCACACGGTCGGCTGCTGTGCCCCAGAGGGTTAGCCAGGAGCTGCCCGGCTCAGTCAGGACCCGGCCTCCTCCTTCGCTTTCCACATGGAAAATGGCAGCAGCCAGCACCACACTATGAACGAGTCAAAATCACACCCATTTTTGTCAGGTCTGCAAAAAACACAATGTATTTTTGTGTCACAGGATTTTGGTAATTAGCTTATGTGTGCCGTGAGATGAACAAGATTGAATATCGCGGTCTTAGAGAAACGCACTTGGTGATTGTAAAAACCGTTAAACCTTTTTTCGAGCGAGGGACACAAAGCTCAGGGGTCCCCTCTGGGGTGTGGGGTGGGGAGGAGCAGACCCTCCTGGGTTTCCCTGGCTCTGGCGCCCTCTGCCCTGCAGCCGCCAGCAGGGGTGAGGCTGAGAATCGGAGGCAGCTGCTCCACGGCCCCTACACGCCTGCCTGGGAGCTGCTCTGTCCTCAGTGCAGGGGATTTGTCCCTGATGGAGCCACGTCATTTTGGGACCTAAAAAGCTTCATTTAAAACCCCCACCTCCCACCATGCCCACCCCTGGTGAACGAGCTGATGTTCACGGAACTGCTGTAGTTGGCTGCAGCCTGGCACTGCCTTCCTCCCAGACCCTGGCCTATGGGGACATGAGCCACGAGTGGATCGGGAACGAGTGGCTGCCCAGCCTGGGGCTGCCCCAGTACCGCAGCTACTTCATGGAGTGCCTGGTGGATGCCCGCATGCTGGACCACCTCACCAAGAAGGACCTGCGGGTGCACCTGAAGATGGTGGACAGCTTCCACCGGTGAGCAGGCGGCGGCCCTCCCAACAGGGCCCAGTTTTGGGCTCCGTCCAGTCTCTTCCCTGGCCCTTCTGGGTGGCAGCTGCTCCTTGCGGAGCTGGACTCTCTCCCCTTCAACCCTAAAGACCAAAGTTGTCTCTCTAACTCCCCTCCTGGAGGCTTCTCCCAGGCTGTTTCGTTTTCGCCGCGGGCTGGCTGGGCTCTGTTTACCCGGAGACGACTCGCCTGGACCCCATGTGCAGGGTGGGCACCGACCCCTTCCGGCTGGAGGACAGGCTCCTGGGCCCCTGCCCGGCCAGTGTGCCCGTCCCAGCGTCCCGCCTGAACCCACGGGCTTTGCTGCAGGATGTCACCCAGTCCTCCCTCTCTTTGCTGAAAGTATCTTCTGTTCAGAGGTGCTTGGAGGCCCCAGATTGGCAGCCGTGGGCGGGATTTGGCCGCAGATGTGTTTTGTGTGGCCCACATGGTATTTTTAAAATTATGAATTTAGTTGCTCGTTTTTAAGCTCTAGGAAATTTTACACCAAATTTTGGATGTCTGGATCCTCAAAAATTGAAAGCTCTATCTATTGTCACATTGCAGCATGGACTCCACCAGCCCCTGCAGCCCCTCAGCCCCACAGCCTGCTCGCCCATTTGCAGTAAACGCCTCCTGGCCCCAGGCGGCACTGGGCTTGCAGAGCAGGGCTGAAAATGGTTTGAGGAAGTCCTTGCTAACACCAGCTGAGACTGTCCAGGTCGCTAGTTCCTGGAAGGGGTGTCTGAGTCGTGAAGTGATTTCTGGGCAGGAAGGCTGGGGCAGCGGCGGGGCCGAGGAGGGAACTGTCTGCATAATCGAATCTCGCGAAGCAGAGGCCTCAGCGGAGTGGAGACAGTGGGGTTGGCAGGGGGTTGCTCCTCTGCTCCTCAGCTTCGCAGGCGACGACACCAGAGGCCACGTCAGGGCCACTCTTTAGGAGGAGCAGTCGCGGCCGAGGTGGGACGAGCTGCCCCGGGAGGTAGTGAGCTCTCGGTCCCCAGAGGCTGGCACGGGGTGCTGCCTCCTGCATTAGGCGGGCGCTCGGAGCGATGGCCTCTGGGGTCCCATCTCACCCCCGGCTCTGGTTCTCCGCGGTTCCTTGTGAGGGAGCGAGGGCCCCGTGTGCACCTGCTGCAGCGTGAGTGCTTCCGGTCCTTCCTGTGAACTCGTCCCAGGGGGTGAGATCCGGGAGGGAGCTTCCATGCTAACTGGGATCGAGTGGCAGGAAAATTATACCTGGGTAAGGAGGCTGGGGTGGGCTGGGTGGTGATGGTCGTACAGTCAGGTGGGCATGGCGGCATTTCAGCAAGGCCGTAGGGCAGCAGAATGGGAATGCTCCCGGCAGCAGTGCAGCCAGTGCAAAGGCCCTGAGGCCTGTGGGCAGCGAGGCAGGTGTCCCTGAGCTCAGACGGCGTGGGAGGACCCGGTAGCATCCATAGGCTTGTGTGAGGAGCCAGGTGAAATGGGAACACAAAAGGGTCTTTGTCACGCAGTCCTGGAGAGGGAGGGCCATGCTGCTTCCATGCTGAGAACTTCATCGTGAGGCCCAACCGGGCTGAGGGAGGACAGGGGACCAGAGAGGGAGGTGGCCTTGGCGGGTCGCGTGCAGGTGGAGCCGAGCGTCTGGGGGCTGTCTGTGCTGGAGGACGTGGGCAGCTGGGCAGGAGCGTGCCCCTGAGGCTGTGGTGGACTGTGTGCCTGCAGGAGCAGCCTGCAGTACGGCATCATGTGTCTCAAGAGGCTCAATTATGACCGGAAGGAGCTGGAGAGGAGGCGGGAGGAGAGCCAGCATGAGATCAGGGGTAAGCGGGTCACTGGGGCCTCCGCTGCAGGTGTGCACCTGGGTGCAGGGACCTCACCCCAAAGCTGAGAGGGAAGGAGGAGAGGGGGCTCAGGATGGAGGAGGGAGATGGGGTGGAGCCGAGGGCAGGGAAGGCTGGGGCTTTGGTCTGGGGGCTCCCCTCTTACCTGGAAACCTCTGGACCCCGGGTCCTTCTGCTCTTTTCCCGCCTCTAGATGTGCTGGTCTGGACCAATGAGCAGGTGGTCCACTGGGTCCAGTCCATTGGGCTCCGGGACTACGCAGGGAACCTGCAGGAGAGCGGTGTGCACGGCGCCCTGCTGGCCCTGGACGAGAACTTCGACCACAACACGCTGGCCCTGGTCCTGCAGATCCCCACACAGAACACCCAGGTGGGCAGCACTGGCGTCAGGGGCCCCGCTGCCTGTGCCTCAGCGTGGGCGGGGGGGTACTCATGACTTACATGTAAATTACACGTCGTCCTGGGAACCCATCCAAGAATGTGCTGACTTCTCTGAGCTGTTCATGTCCGGCCTGTGCCCGTCCTGTGGGCAGTGGGGCTGGAAGTGCTGCCTCTGAAAGGCTTCCTCCTGTATTTGTCCTGAATGAGCCGGGCAGCCGGGAGGGAGCCTCTTCCCAGTCTCGAGGGGTGGAAGGTGTGCGCGTTCGCCAGCCTCTGCTCTGGTGGTGTCGCGGCTCTGATGTGCTGCCCTGGCCTCGCCTGTCTCTGTGGACTCGGCCTTCAGCCTTTCCTCACAGACTCGCCTCTGCCCTGGTCACTGTCGGACTGCGGCAGCTGTCGGGGCTCTTGAGATTCAGCCCCGAATCCCCTCCGTGAGCTCTTCTGGGAGCAGATGCGTTCTGGCTTGTGGGAGGGGCGGCTCTGCGGTCTCAGAATTCTGGGTGGTGGGTGGCCTTTTGGGGGCACTGGCAACACAGAGCCAGTGTGTCCACCGGGCTCTGCAGCCACAGTGGAGAGCACAGACCCCCGTTCTCTAAGGAGCTCCTGGATGTCCCCCAGATGCGGCTTCCTGTGTTTGTCCTCCTCCAACCTGGTCTGCACTCCCCACCCTCAGCCTGGGGGGCTCCAGTCGGAGCGGGTCCTCCCCGCCATGGCCCACAAGAGTGCCATTCGGTGGTGCGGGACGTCCTCTCTCTCCCGGCCACTTGGAAAGGGTTCCCAGGACCGAGAAGGGTGGTCTCTAGGGAGCAACATGGGGGCTGTTTTCACCCAGAAATGGGCCGAGTTCTCCGTCTCCCGTTTCCTGTCTCGTGTCACCGGATTCTGTGAACAGGATTCACCCGTGAACAGGAGCAGGGTCCAGTCCCTCTCACTCTCCTGACCCTTCACGGCTTAGCTGTTGGGGAGGTCGGATCCCGACCAGTAGGAATCCTTCCTTGAAAATGGTTGCTAATATCTGGTGGCATTTGTGAAAACTTGCTTATTTCTGGCATTTCCCAAATCTCCCGGGTTAAACTCCCAGGCCTCTGGGAGGACCTCTGTGCCCCACTCAGCCCTGGGCCACCAGCCGCCAACTGAGCTGCCTCCAAGTGAAGCGTGGCCCTTCACCCTAGATCAGCTACATCCTGCTCCCCGGGGCTGCTGCTCACTTATCCCGCCCAGAAGGGCCTGGTGTGCACTTGACGCACAATGTGGGTCCCCGTAGGTGAGGCCTGCCTTCCGTGTGCCCTGTCACCTACTTTTTAAAAAGTCAGTTTCCTCTTTGCTCTGTAGGAAGGAGCCCGGCTCACAGCTGGCTTGTGAGAGGGCCCTGAGGTTTGTGCGAAGGGGCAGATCAGTCGGAGGGTTAAATGCCCTGAAACCGCGTCTGCGTGGACGTGGCCCCTAGGAAACAGGTGGCAGACCCGGCACAGCTGGCTGACCACAGCCCTCCCCCCCTCCCCCCCCGCCTCTCCCTCTTCCTGTGGACGCCAGGCCCGCCAGGCGATGGAGAGAGAGTTCAACAACCTCTTGGCCCTGGGCACCGACCGGAAGCTGGATGATGTGAGTGCCCGCCCTGATGGGGCCTTGGGTTTGCCATTGGTGGCTCCTAGCGCCCATCAGGACACCTGACACCCCCCCCCCCCCACACACACACGTTCCTGTCCCCGGCCTTGCGTGCCCCTGCCTGTCAGGTCGGCCTTAGCTCCTTGGCTCCAAACGAGTTACAGACGACCCCAGACCGCTTAACGGCGGCTTCCCCATCCTCACTCCATCTGCTCTGTGATCACCCCCCACACCGAGGCCCCGAGGTCCCTGCTCACACCGCCGGCCTGAGACGCCCTAGAGCTTCCTTCCCAGTGGGGCTGAGCCCTCCTTGTGGTTGACCATGGGGCCTCAGCAGACAGGACACACGCAGGCCGCCAGCACCGACTGCATGGGGTGCCCTGGAGTTGGCTACACACACAGGCACATACACACACATGTGTAGAACATGTGTGTGGGCTCCAGGCAAGGAGTAGACTGCCAGACACCACTCTCAGGGATCTGATCTCCCCAGTGCCCTGCAGGGGGGCCCTGCTGGGTGGGGGCTGCCTGGTGAGCGCGTCCCTGGATGACACAGGAGAAAGACTGGGGGGTCCCGGGGGGTCCCAAGCCCAGGTGAGATGACGGGTGCGTGATGGGCAGATCCCACCAGAGGCCTCCCCTCCCAGAGACAGTTCCCTGCCAAGGAGTCATCCAGGGACCAGCGGAGCGCCCGGGCGGGAGGGAGGTGCATTCCGCTGTGTCCCTGCAGGGGGAGGACAAGGTGTTCCGCCGTGCGCCCTCCTGGAGGAAGCGCTTCCGGCCGAGGGACCTCTCCGCAGGCGTGCTCAGCGTGTCCCCGCTGGGGTCCCTGCAGCCTCCACCGGCCCCGCCTAAGAAGGTCACGCCTGAAGGTGAGTGACGCTGTCTGCCCTGGCTGCCTGAGGCTGCACTGACCTGCTGTGGCCGTGGCCTGGCCGCCCCAGCGCAAGCGCTCATACTAACAGCCGCCTGTGTGTTCTCGGCTGCCGCCTCTCCCAGCCGGGCCGGCCGGGGCGCAGAGACCGGAGACCTCCACGGTGCGGACCTACACCTGCTGACCCACCCGGTCGGCCCTGTGCCCGTGGCCCGTGCTCGGGGTAAGTGGGCCAGCCCAGCCGCACGGCCTTCGCGCCCTCCTCGCCCTCCCGGCTGGCCGCCGCTCTGCTGCATCTGGCCTGGTGCTCTGCTTGCTGGGGGGCCCTGCCACCCGGCCTCCGCTCGAGCACTGTCTATTGCTAACGCCCCCCTCTCTCTCAGCGCACTCCCACTATCTCTACGGACACATGCTCTCTGCCTTCCGGGACTAGCCACGCCCCAGGGCTCCACAGGCGCGGCCGCTGGACCCCTCCTGCTCGACCCCTTCCTCCAGGCTCCCAGGCTCTTCAGTGACTCTCCAGCCGCCCTGGGTCTCCGAATACACACGTCCACCCCTGGGCCGTCCGCCAGCCCAGGCCCCGCGTGTCCTTTGTCATCTCTGATGTGGCTGCGCCTCCTGGAGTCGCGCAGCCCCGGGTGGGCTGTGACTCCACCTCCCCCCTGGTCCTGGCCTGGCCTCAACTTCCAGGGGAGACCAGGGCACCGACGCAGGCCGGGCGACCTGCCGAGAAAAGGGCGCTTCACCCTCTGCGTGTGAGCTATCTGGCCTCTGGTCCCTGTCCCTGTCCTGGCTCTGCCCAGTGGCCTGCCTGCCATGGCTTCTGCTCCAGGACCCCCTGCGGGGCTGGGCGGCAGCAGGCCTGTCCTGGGTGAGGCTGGGGAGGAGGTCCCAGGCCTGGCCTAAGCTGAATCCCAAATGCGAATTTGAGAAGAACCTGGGAGAAATGGGCCCCTGAGCTTTGGGTCGAGGGTCCAGGTGTGGAAACAGCCCCCCATTCAGTGAGGCACAGGCTGGCCAGTGGAGGAGACCAGGGGCTGTGGTGGCCTCACCCAAAGGGCAGTGGGATGCCACCCGTCCCGCGTGGGGTAGAGCTGCTGGGGGGTGGGGAATGGTGTGGGGGAGGGTCGGGGCCTGCGACCTCAGCTCTGGGCAGGACAGAGATCACCCCACACCCCACACACTGCCAGCCCTGCTCCGCACCCTGTCCCTCCGTCCCTCGGCCCCTGCAGGAATCCCAGCCCACAGCGCGCCCATGGCAGAGTGAGTGTGCCCGCCTCAGCTCCGGCTTGGGGAGGAGGGAGGCTGAGGCTGCCTCCCCTTCTCTCCTGGGAAGAGCTTGATGCTTCCCCTAAGTGAGTCGGCCCGGCCCAGGTCACTGAATGTGGGTGAAGGCCGCCCTCTACCCCTTGCTCAGGGCTCCCTGGGTGTGCAGGGACTGCCTCTTCTAGAGATTCCTACCAAGTGGACAGCGTTCCCCAGCAGCATGGCATTCCCAGGAAATCATCTTCCTCGCCCATTCCTCACCCCCCTCGGTGCTGGAAGTGCTGGGGACCCAAGTTCAGGATGTGGGTGGAACCCAGGCTTCATCCAAGCGAGAGCAGAGGCAGGTGTGTGGAGGCCACACTCCCGGCCGGTGGCTGAGCAGCTGGACTGGGGTCTGAGCGAGGCTGCCCGAGTGGGGCAGTGCAGGCTCGGCACTTGGCGACGTCTCAGAGGTGAGGTCCCCATGCTGGGGTGGGGCTCCCCTCGCGCCCTGTCCTCCCTGGCATCAGCCACCGTGGAGATGAGGGCGGGGAGAGAAACCCCTGTGCTTGGGTGATGGGCCTGAAGGTTGTGGAGAAACCCCAGGCTCTGCTTGGTGGAGTGGGGACCACAAGGCCGTGTGATGGTCAGGGGACCCGACGAGCTGGTACGAGGGCGCGGCCGCAGCTGTCCTCCACTTCGTCCTCCACGCGGTTGTGCCGTGAGGCAGCAGCTGGGGGACCTGGGTCCCTTCGGGGCGGCGTGGGGTGTTTCGGAAGGCGATGGAGGAGGGGCCGGTGGGGGTGAGGCTGCTGTCTGCTGCTCAGAGGAGGTTGTTTCTCAGTCAGTGCATTTGCAGAGACCCGAGGCCTGAGCCCTCACAGCTCCCTTCAGGTCCCTGCTCAGCACCGTGCTAGCTCCGTGCATCCGGAGGGGTGCCTGTGGTGTGCGTGCGTGTGTGTGTGTGCCCCACCAATAAACCTGATTTTACGACAATGTGAACATGGCTCTGGTCCTTCTAACCTGGAGCTCACCTGCATGTCCGTCCTCTGGGCCTAGGGCTGCCCTTGGGGAAGCCGTTCCTTGGAGAGCTGAGGGCGGTAGCTTCTGCTCCACATACCCCGGGCCTGAGAGGGAGGTTTGGGCTGCTCGTGCCCGGGGGTGGGGAGGGAGGGCAGCCTGGCTGCTGGCCATACCCCTTGCCAGCCATGATCTCCTTCCAGCCTGATTCCCCAAAGTCTGATTCCGCGACATTTGATTAACCCAGTTTGATTTCCTGTAGGCGCTTCCACTGGAGACTGGGACTTAGGCTAATTTCCCTAAAGAACTCCCCTCATTACTCATTTCTCCTTCTCTGGAATGTAATTGTGAAGGCTGCGCTCTTGTTATTGTAGGAAAGTCCCTGGGCTTCGCGATAAGGGTGAGGCTGGCAGAGCAGCCGTCACTGTGCAGTCCTGGCTGCATCCTCCGTGGTGGGAAGCAAGGCAGGCCATGGCCACACCCGACCACGGAGGGAACTGCCAACCCTGACCACCACTGAGGACTGTTCCTCTCACCAGCATATGAATATGAAATTCAGCTCCCAAATGACTTGATAACTACAGAGGAATAAACTTTAAAAATATATCCAGCAACCCCAGAGCCCCCCAGGTCCTGAACAGAGACGGAAGCCCTTGGCCAGCCCCAGCCCCAGCCCCAGCCCCAGCCAGGGGGCGCCTGAAGGCAGTGGGCAGTGTCCCCGGCAGCCTGGAGGGTGCTGGGCAGAGGAAATGGGCCTGAGCAGCCCTCCTGTCCAAGGCCAGTGAGTCAGGGAGGGACCCAGGTGTTCCCTGCACCCTTCCCAGGGGGTGAGAGGAAACACCAAGATGCAAAGGCAGAGGGAAACCCCACATGTGGTTGGCCCAACCTGTGATTCCCACCAGGCCCGCCCCTCGCCCTTGCCTGGGGCCTGAGCCTGCCTGTCTCCTCCTCTTTCTTATGCAGTTTCTGGGCACACCCTGGAGGGCTGCATGTGGGGCCCTGTCTTCAGGAGCAAGTCTGGAGGGCTGAGCCCTTGGGCACCAGCGTCTGCTCAGCACCTGGGGTCCCTCTCTTCAGGGCCCCAGAGAACTGAGTCGGGGCTGGAGGGGACCCCACACAGAGTCCTGACTTCTGTCATGATTCTGAAACTTAATTTGCAATAAATCAGACGAGCAGCCTGAAGCAGTTGGAATTAATGAAGTTTTTAGTGGATGTTCATGGTCCAGGGAAATTCTAGCTCCTGATGCCTCCCCCGTTGACCCTCGTGTCACGTGTCCAGTCCTTGCTCACCCTCAGGAAGCCAGACTGAAAGCAGCAGCCTCAGCGTCCCTTCCTGTGGTGGCTCTTGGGGAGCCCCGTGCGCTTCCCCCACTGCTGAGTCTCCATCCTCTGGGCCGCAGGCCAGGCCACAGCCCCCTCTGCCCGATGATGGACGATGGAAGGGTGCAGTGGGATTCCATCATCTCCCACTTCCCTACGGGCTCCTGGTAATGCCACCCAGAGGAGAGGCAGGGATCAGGGAGGGAAACCCACAGATTCCAGCTGCACCCCCACCCGTGGGCTGTGGGCTGGGCACCAGGCCTGTGCTCAGTTCATTGGAGGACCTGGCGGGATGGTAGTGAGTGCACGGTGTCGTGAATTAGAGGATGACAGGCCTCAGCAGGGGGCTGGCATGTCTTCCCTGGCCTGTGGACCGACCTGGCTTCCAGGGGTCCCAGGGCCTGGTGACCACCAGCAATGGGATCTCACGCCCGATCCTGGGCGTGTCTGGACTGAGGGACGCAGGAGTGGCAGGCACCCCTCTGTCTACATCACGGACATCTAGCAACCAGTGTTTATTCATTTTTTAAAAAAGGAAATCCAAATAAGTTAGCAAAAAAAAATTACAAAACAATAGCAAAACCACACAATGCTTAGTTATCAAAGGAAGTCACCCCAAGAGCCCCGCCCCCCATCCCGTACCTGGCAACTCTGCACAGGACACCTTGGTCAGATGGCAGCTTCACAAACAACACGCAAAACAAACAACATAAAACCTGGGGTTTCCCAGTGTTCACGGCAGAAGCTTGGCCCCCGGGGACTGGGGGACGGGGCACCTCTTCCTGCTCCTGAGTCAGGGCAGGCCCAGCCCAGCCACTGCCTCAGGAACAGCAGACGGAGGTGCACCGTGTGTCCGGGTCAGGACACTCTGTCGCTCAGACTGGCCTTGGGGGGAGGGGGAGCCGAAGGCTGAGTTATACTCGAAGGGAAGCTCCTGAGTTTGCCCCTGAGCGAGGCACCCGAGAGCACTCTGGTCCCCTGCTCTGTCTCCCTGGACCGGGATGGCCCTGGGAGCTCTGAGCAGTCAGCCAAGTGAGAGCGCCCACTCCCTCTCTGGGTGGTGGCTTAACCTTCGACAGGCGAGGAGAGGGGCAGGCTGGCCTCCTGGCATCAGGACAGCCTGGCTTCGGCGGCCTCCGTGCCCCAGTGGCGGCATCTGTGGCCAGCCTGTGGGCCCCTGGCCGCCGGCCGCAGACCACCTCAGTTGGGCAGGGTTTCATCCGGGAAGGCCACAGAGACGTCCTCCATGGTGATGCTGTCCACGATGGAGGTGAGTGAGTGCAGGTTGTGGGCGTCCGCAGGGTCCGCTGGGAGCAGATGGTCTGTGGGGAGAAGGTGGGCGGGGTCACCTGGCGACAGGCGTCTCCAGCTCAGGAGTGCTGCTGCCCTTCCCAGTGGCACGCGTGGGACAGGTGCCTCCTCCCAGCTCCGCTCCTGGGGCTGGGCCGGGGTTGGAGCAGCTATTCCGACTGCCCTGGGAGTTGGAGCCTGGGTGGTGTGTCCTGGGAGATGGCCCTGCCCTTGTTGGCATTAGGCAGCACGGACTCGGGACTCCCAGGAACCCCTGGGGTAGGGATAGGCTCCTCCCTGTGGAGAAGGTCAGCCACTGGCCACCAGGCACAAGGCAGGAGCTGCAGGAGGCCGGCTCTAGCCCTGAGGCCCTGGGTTCAGCAGGTCCCCGCAGAGGCCGAGGGGAGAAGCCGGGGCAGGGAATAAGGGAAGAGGGGCGACCTGGGCTGGACACAGGCTGAGGGATTTGAGCCAAGCTGACCAGGTCCCACCTCACTTACCCCCTGGGTTGGGGCCGAACTCCAGGGCGCTGCCCCACTCTGGACTGCAGGAGGCGCTGTGGGAGCTGCATTCACTGGGTACCTGCTAGACACCGAGGCCCAAGGTCAGGCACAGCGGTCTCTGTGGTGCCCTCTGTCCAGTCCCCAGGGCAGAAGCTCCTGTGCCCAGGCTACCCCTCTAGCCCAGGTCACCCCCTCCACTGGGAGTGTCACAACTCACCCCTTCCCTGCCCCCGCCTGGCCACAGAGCCCCAGCTTCCAGGCCTTTCCTGGCTTCCATCTGGGGTGGACACCAGCTTAAGGGGGCGCCTGGTTTTCCTGACCCTGAGATCAGGGTGTCCAGCCCAGCCAGGGCCTCTCTATGCAAGTGCTGGGGTTCCGGGTGGGGTGGTGGGGGTGGAGCTGTCCATCCCCAGGCACTGACCCGGCTGACTCGGGACTTGTTCCTTGACCCTCATCCGGACCCCTGCCCCCCACCCCCATCTCTGCTTGTCCTGCTGCCTGTCCTGTCTGGAAAGGACACGGGACACAGGGATGGCTGGGCGCCCAGCTCTGACGGAGGACTGTCCCACGAGCCCACGTAGGAGCCTGAGACTGCGCCCCTCCCACGGGCAGGTGGGGCAGCCACTTACCCCCGCCGGGGGGCCGCCCCGCGGGCAGCGCAGCCCGCGCTCCTCCTGGCGGAGAGAGCTGAGCAGGGCCTGCAGGCGCTCGATGTACTGGATGGCGCTCCGCAGGATCTCCACCTTGGGCAGCCGCTGGTTGGGGTTCAGCAGGGTGCTCCGCTTCAGGGCCTCGAAGGCCTCGTTCACCTTCTTGAGCCGGCGCTTCTCCCTCAGCGTGGCCGCCCGCCGCCGGTCCACGGACACGGACTTCCTCTTACACGCCTTGCACGCCCACGGCAGGCACTGGCCCGGGCAGTGCTCGGGGGTCCCCAGCCCCTTGTCTTCGAGGGGTCCCCGGGCCTCGGGGCTCAGGCTGAGCTCAGTCCGCTCGTAGCCCGGCGGCTCGAAGCCCTGGAGGTGGACGGGCAGGTAGTTTTCCCCGTCGTAGAAGTGGGGCTCCTGGTAGAAGTAGGGGGGTGTCTCATACAGCTCCATGGGGTCGGAAGAGGCTCGTTCCTGCCACTGGCCCCCAAGCTCCTGCAGCCCCTCACGCCAACTGCTGGGTGCCATTTAAACCCTTCCCGCTGGCATGGAACCAGAGATAAATATAGCCAACGCCACGGAAACCTGAGCCCCCTCTAAGCTGTTGCTGCACATCAAGACGTTCACAGTGGATTAGACGTGACCCCCCCACCCCCCGCCTCCACCCACCCACCCAGCCTGCCTGCCCCGGCCAGCCCTGGGCTCCTGGGCCCAGGAGGGAGGCCGTCGGGTGTAATTTGATTAGTTTTCATTTCTCGGCAGCCCCCCTGGGGCAGGCAGGGGAGGTGGGGGACACATTCTCATCTGCTCCTTTCAATTACTCCTGGCAGGGGGCCTGCCTGCTCCCTTTGCTGGTCCCAAAGAGTTAGGGTGGGGCCCAGAGGGGTGGGTTTCGGCTGGAAGGGGTCCTACGTCAATTCATTCGTCCCTTGCTTCCTGGCAGCTCCGTGAGCCTCAGCCAGACAGGAGTCCCTCCCAGAGGGCAGGCTGCTGCCTGTCCAGCAGGCGTGTCCAGGGGCAAGAAGGGCCGATGGAAGGGGACGCATGGCCTCCCCTTCTGGTCTCCACGGCAGCCTTGACCGTGTCTCTCAGGGCTCAGTGATGGGGATACATGGAGGGAGGAGGAATTCGGGGTCTTGTTTTTCTCCTGTGGCAGGGCCAGTGGGCGCCTGGAATACGCTGGTCATGGTGCCACCGTCCAGCTGTGGAAAGTCGGGTCTGGGGGACCTGTGTCTCCGCCCTCCCTCCCTCTGCGTCCTCCTATGTCGTCTCCTCCAGTCTGTTCTGCCCCAGTCGGACCCGAGGTTTCCCCGAGTCCTCGCCGTGGGCGGGGGGGCATAGCCCCTCCACGCAGTGTAAATCTCCCTGCTCCTGGCCTCCTGCTGGTTCTGCCTCTTCCTGTCTGAGCCCTCAGGTCGCCCTGCAGGTCGCTCTGGGATGCGGGGGCAGGAGGGACTGGTTCATCTCTGAGTGCGGGGTCCCCTCTCGGCAGAGGCCTGGGGTCTGAGAGGACCCGTGCTTCCGTCCAGGGCGGGCCAGCAGCGGACAAGGCTCACTTTAGGGCTGCCGGGTCACTACACGCCAATCCTCAGAGCCCTGAGAATGGGAGGGATGCTGAAGTTACTATGGAAACCCAGAGATGGCCACACTTGGCCTTTTGGGAGCCAATCGCCCTTCCTCCGGACAGCGTGCCCATGTCCTTGAGAAGCAGGAGCAGGAGGACCGGGCTTGTGTCGTGGGAGTTTCGGGGTCTCACGCTCTAGCTGGTGAGCCTGGAGACGGAAATGCCCGGTCACACTGCCAGCGAGTTGTTTCAGCTCTGCCGTAAGCACGGGGGCTGCCATCGTGTGCAAGGAGGGGGCTCGTCAAGCAGGTGTGTCAGGAGTTTGTGGAGAGCCTGCGTCGGGGCTGGGGAGGAGGAGAGCACCGCTGGTTCAGGAGGTCACGCAGGGTCCAGACGAGAGAGGAGGGGATGGGGGACTGGTTGGTGGAGCTCAGGGTTCAGGACAAGCCTGCAGAGAAGGGGACGCCCAGCAGTGATGGAGGGACTTGGTAGTGAGGCAGGGGCACCCCATGGAAGACCACGGCGGGCCTTCGGGAGCAAGGCGCGTGGTCCTGGGTGTAGAACGGCCGACCCAGAGGCAGGAGGAAGTGTGGACCGGGAGGACAGGCGTGTCAGCTGGCGAAGGATGGTGTGTGAGTGTGTGTGTGTGTGAGTGTGTGAGTGTGTGAGTGAGGCAGGTGATGGTTGTAAGGAGAGGGCAGTGGGCAGGTGGAGACACTTCTCCTCCTCCCCTGGCCCCCCTGCGGCCGGGTCCCTGGCTCCCTGCACAGCCACCGGGGAACCAGAGCAGCAGGGAGGGGAAGGGACACCAGCCCCGCCCGCCTGGGACAGAGGACTCGGAAGATAGGGCAGCTCCGCTGTCTCTGACGGCAGCTCCCCAATGGGGGACTGTCCCTTTACCCACCTGGCTCCTCTCAGAGCCACGATGCGGGGAAGCGGCACCTGGAGACCTGGCCTTCCTCCCCCTGGCACCCCCCCACCAGCCGCCCAAGCCTCCCTCTGATGGACAGGAACACATTGGGGCCACCACAGAGCGGTCTTTGTGCTCCCAGCAGTGGAGATCCATCAGCTCGCCCTGACAGCGGGGCGTCAGGCCCTAATCCCCACCCCACTGGCCTGGGCACACAGGCCCCTGCAGTCCCGGCCCCTCCAGAGGCAGCCCTCACCCCACCCACCCTCCCAACGTGACTGTTCCTTGCATGCTGGGCTGGCCTCGCTTGCATGGTCTCGGAAATCCCCTTCACCTGCTTCCTGCTCCCTGCTCCCCACTCTGCTCCCCCAGCATCTCCCAGTCCCAGCTGACCTGGCAGGTGGGCGGACCTGGGCTGCCAGGTTGATTGGTTAACATCCAACCAGGTTCCCGGTCCAGAGTCTCAGGTGCTGGGAATCGGGGAGTGAGAGCCTTTGGCTTCTGCAAAGATGGCTGAGCTTCTGTTCTCCGGGCTGGGGCCCTGGCTGGGGCCCTGGCTGGGGCGGCAGGAAAATGCTCCCACGGGCCCCTGAAGCCGGAACAATGGGTGCCCACCAGCATCAGCTCTCTGTGGGCCAGTAGCTTTGCAGTGAGAACAGATCCAGAATCTGAGAAAACCTGAGCGGGGAAGCTTCCTCCTACACACGGGGAAACTGAGGCCGGAGAAGAAAGTGACTCTCCTGAGGGCGCACAGGGTACCCCGTCAGAGTGTGAGGGGTGTTGGCTCTTGGTGCCTGAGCTTGGGCCTTGGGGCAGAGCCAGGGGGCCCCTCTCCTTTCCTGAGGGTGACGTGTGGAGAAGGCCCAGAAAGCACCGTGAGTACCTGCTTTCCAGGTGGGCTCAGGCACAGGTAGGAGGCGGCAGGGGGTTGGAGGGCTCTAGGCGTCGAATGGAGAGTCAGGGAGACATCAGAGAAGGCCTGACGGAGAGATGGAAAGAAGACACACCAGGGCTAAGGGGCGATGGACTGGGGGCCGGGAAACCTGAGGGCTTGAGACCAGAGGAGGGTTTGGAGGCAAATGGGGCCGGGGCGGGGGGTGGAGAGGTGAGGAGCAGGAGGGGAGGGCCTGGAGGCCCACGTTGTGCCCTTTTCCTCCGAGGACAAGCATCAGATAACCCCTGGGAAGTCCCTCCCGCTGGGGTCAGCTCAGCGCCAGGTCACTCGCCAAGAATCTCTGGCCTCTGCTGGGCGGGCGAAGGTGAGGCCGGGAGTGGACAGGAGGGACCAGGGGACGGGTCTGAAGAGGTGCTTGGTGGTCACAAAGCACCGGATGAGGTTTACAGAGCCCGACGGGCCCGCAGGGTGTGGGCCGTGTGCACCCGGGCCGTGGAAGTGTGCGTGCGAGTGCCCGAGTGGTTCCTGAGCTGGGCCCTCAGCTCCCAGGACGACCTGTCGGAAGGGAAGGCCGTGGAGGAGGGAGCCCTGGATCAGGAGTCAGGGCGTTGCTGCCCTGTCTCCTCCCTGGTCTCCCCGTGTCAATCAGGTGCTGGACTGAGTGACCCAAGTGGCCCCTTGAAAGGTGGCACTCTGGTTCCGCCTCAGCCTGTGGGCTGCGGGGCTCAGGGGTCGGCAGGAGGACTGCTGAGAGGGTGCGAGCCAGGCCTCACCCTGAGGAGTGGACTCGGGGTCAGTGGGGACCATGTGTGTCGGCGGCTCCTCCTTCCCTGCTGCCACGCCTGCCCACCCCATGCTGTCTCCCCGAGGCCACTGGATGGCTCCCTGGACCCCTTCCAGCCCCCCTAGGCCTGGCACCACTGTCCTACTTACCATGGACTCCCCCCTCCCGCCCCCTCCCTCCCGCCCCCCCTTCTGCCCTCCTTGGGGCTCAGAAGCCCCGCAGGCCACACCCCCTCCCACTCCCTGGGCAGCTTCTATTTCTGCCTCTTTGACAAGTTGTGACATATTTGGGAGCAGCTGCTGCCGGGCGGAGATGCCTTTGCCTCCCCCCTGGCTCTGTCTTCTCCTCCCCGTGCCTCTCCCCCAGCCCCCGCCCCCCCAGAATGTGCTGTGGGACCCTCCCTGCATCCCCCTCCTGGGAACTCGGGTGTCCAGCCCCGCCCTGGCCTGGTAAGGGGCCTTTCTGGCCCAGAAAGTCAGGTGGCCACATGCAGCACAGGCCTGACCGCCTCTGTGTCTGAGGCCGTCTCTATTCCTCGGGGCTTCATTTTTCCGTCTGCAAAATGGGGTGATAAACTGTCTTCCGGCCGTAGCTAGTGTGTCGCCTGTTAACTGCAGGGGCTTGGAGCTCCTCTCATCTTCTCGAAGGACTTCATTCCATGTCCCTCTTTCCCAAGTATCCGTCCCTGGTGGCCTTTCCCCTGAGTGCCAATGTGCTGAAGTCACTCCACTCAGAACCCTCTTTTCCACGGCGCCCTGGGCGAGGGCTCTGTCCCAGCCTCTCCTTCGGCACCGTTTCTGGGACCTGGGACGGGACTTCACACCCACTTGTCTACTCAAGGCCTCCGCCCTTCCTGGGACACAGGCGCCTCGGCAGGTGCAGCTGCAGGCGAGGGCTGTGTCGACCTCACTGGAGTGGTCTGTTGGCCACGGTCTCCTGAGCTCTGCTCTCCTAGCTCCTGCGACCTGCACCCTCCTAGCTCCTCTGGGTTTCCTCCTCCTCCCTCCTCTTCCTCTTCACAGCTCCTCTGCCTTCCCTTGAGGAGGGGCCTCTCTTCTTAGACCTCATCCTGCACCCCCCTGGGTAGCCCCGCTCTGCCACCAGGGTGCACGCCTGCGTGTGTAAATGCTGGTGGAGGTTGGCTCTGTACTGCGGTGCCTCAATGAATGACTCCCAAGTCCGTACTCTGTGCCCTGAGCTGCCGACCACATGCCCAAGGTCAGGGTGGACAAGCACTTCCATCAAGTGTGTCTGACAGGGAACCCGTTCACTCTCCCCATTCCCGTGTCCCTCTACTGATGACTCATGCCACCCACTCCGTCGTTCCTGGCTTGGCTTCCCTCCTTCCCTGACATTCTCCTTTGTCTGTCTGTCCCCAGCCTTCCTCCCTCCTCTCCAGGGAGTC